TAAGTCCAGGTTTGTATATGCTAATTAAGCATTCCATTGATTGAGCTGGCTGCCCCAGCCCAGAAGCTTTCTATATTTATCCCCACACCATACTGTGGTCTTCTTACATATTTTAATTTTTTATACTTTTTATTTATTATTTTTATTTTTAATATGTATGCATGTATTGCCTGCTTGTAGGTAAGTGCACTCGTGTTGTGCAATGCCTGCGGAGGACAGAAGAGGCTGTGGGATCCCCTGGAATTGGAGTTACAGACAGTTGCTAACTGCCATATGGGTGCTGGGATTCAAACCCAGGTCTTCTGCAAGAACAGCCAGTGTCCTTAAAAAAACACACCTGAAATCAAAATACACGGCTGTACCAAACAAGAATGGCTTTTAGAAAAATCAGTGGTTAATACAGCAAGTGAACAAGCAGGGCTGCTTCCGTAGCATGAGATTGCACACATCATCAGTGAAGAGACGAATGTGGTTGCCAGGTGCCTGTGCCATCCGCACGGCTGCAGCATGGTGACTGGCAGAGTCAGGCCTCCACTCACAGTCCCCGCTCAAGCCTCAGACTTGTTTTCTGCAAAGATACCAGTGAGTTTGTTAAAAAGGTCAAGTCCATTCCTTTGCAGTGAGGCAATGTTGAGTCATTGTAAGAGATCATGTTTCAAAACTGGTATTCCCATGAACTTGCCAGAACACGCTCTTTCCCGCTAACTTTTCCCTTCAAATTTTTTGCTGCTTTTTCTCTGGGTATTTTCCAGGTCTTCCTAAGTAATTACAAACCCAGTCTGAGTTTATGTCCAAAACAAATTTTATGATAGCAGCCCTTTGTTTAGGTAATCAGAGTCCATTTTCCCCCCATATCAAATACAACAGATTGTTTTCTCATGTTTAAAACACAGATGTCTTATAGTTTCAGTGATGTCTTATAGTTTTTATTAGACAAACTCACTACATAAATGCTACAACGAAGTGCAGGCTGGGGAGGTGTTACGACTCTGTGTTACAGCAATTGCCTGGCATAGATAAGGCTCTGGGTTTTGTCCATAGCAACAGCAAAAGATGTTGGGGCACAGGAAGGGTGGAGGAGGCGTAAATCCTCCTCCTTTCCTGGTGACCACGAGGCAGGTACAAGTATGGCCCCCGTGGATTTACTTGACAGTTTGCCGTTCTCACAGTGTTCTCCAGCGTGGGGCTGCTTCTCTGTTCTGTGGATGGGGCCTGCTCCCCACTGTTGTTTTGCCTTTGGGACAGTCGGGGATTCGAACCCCAACCACCTGACTGACTGGCCCTCAGCATTCCAGAAACTCTCTTGGTTGGAGTCTTAGTTTTATACTCTGGCTTGGTCTTGGTCCTGTTGCTCCAGGAGGTGAGGGTAGATTTCCACTCTTGCCAGTAGGTTGTGAGGTGATGCATGGCCAGGGGTGCTGCATGCCAGAGGAGTCGAGCCGGAGCAGTTTAAGTCCCATGGACTTTGACAGCGAATTGGCTACGTTGACAACTTTTTCTTCTAAAGGGAAAGAAACAAATTTGTTAAAGTTCTCCTTACCCCCTCAGAATTCTCATCCTCACTTTGGCCCATAATTAAGCGGATGCAGTTACCAAGTGTGTTCACGTTTACTAAGTGACAAGTCTCGGCTTTTCTCGTTCCATCTATTTGCAAGTTAACAACTTGGAAACCACCATCCAGAAAAAACCATGGGCTCATTGCCCATGTACCCTAGGCAGCTAAAAGCTTTCCAGTGCAATGTATTGCTATTAAAAACACTGTGTTTGGGAAAATATGCTGTAGTTCAACCCCTGTGACCCTGCGCGTCTTCCTTTGCTGCTTTGACGCTCAGCAGCTGTGCAACGGCGGGCTCTGCAGGGGCTCCGTCTATGGGCTGGCTGGTGTCTCCAGGGCTTGTTTCTATTCCTGACTCTGAGTAGCAAGTTAGGGTTCTTAGGAGCATTCCACACGCTGTTTCTCGTACGAGGGTGGTGCTGAGATGCACGATCACCTCCCACTTGCCTTTGCGCTCTTGGAGGCACAAGTCTGGCGTGCTCATGCTGGAGCCTCACTCAGTGTGCACATGCTCTTCAGCTGCAAAGAAGACTTCATCCTTCATCCATCCTTCCAGGAAGCTACACTAAGCTTCAGTCCCAGGGCAGGCATTGTAAGGGCCCAAAGGACCTTGTAATTCAAGGTCAGAAAAGGGCAAGTAACTGTGAGCAGAAGAATTTGGCCAGGTAGAGCCTCCTCACAGCAAGGGACCTCGCAGGCCCTGTTGGCAGGTTTTAGCAAGTGGATGCACAGTAGTGTTAAGATCAGGACGAGCCATTTCACAAAACCCACGTAGAATAACATGGCCATGGCCCTTTTAGGCTTCTTGTGGCTTCCCTGTGTTTAATTTGGTTTAAGTAGAAGAAAAACCTTAATTTTTTGTTGTTGTTTTTATTTCCTTGGTTTTTATGGGCTTTTCTCATTTTTAAGAAATTCTACTATTTTTATTTTATATGTATGCATGTATTGCCTGCATGTAGGTAAGTACACCCATGTCATTCAATGCCCGTGGAGGTCAGAAGAGGCCGTTGGATCCTCTGCGACTGGAGTTACGGACAGTTGTTAGCTGCCATGTGTGTGCTGGGATTCGAACCCGGGTCTTCTGCAAGAACAACTAGTGTTCTTAACTGCTGAGCCATCTCTCCAGCCCCAAGGCTTTTTTTTTTTTTTTTTTTTTAAAGTCATAAAATGTCAGAATCTGTGAAAGCACTCAGGCTCTGGACCTCTGACCAAGCTGTGCTCCTCTCTGGGCCATTTGCCGTTCTTTGCTTTGCTCTCAATCTGGGCCCACAGCCCAGTGACCATCTCTAAGTAGCCTGCAGGCCTGTCCGTCTGGCCACCTGTGAGCATAGGCCAGCATGCTCCTCTCATCCAGACAGCAGCCTGCTCCTGTTGGGTCTCCACTCATCCATATGCCCATAGAGTCACACCTAACACTGTTCAGGGCATGTGCCATTTCTGGGCATGTAATGGACCCTCAAGTGACAGAAACCAGCAAACACATTGCAGTTCACCAAGAGTCACTTTGAGGTGAGCAGTAATTGAGAATGTAGAGGAAAGCACCAGACTCAAGGCAAGCTTCACAGAGGTAGTAGGATTGGGGGCACTTGGAATGCAGGTGGGGGTGTCCAAGTGGAGAGAAAGGCAGACAAGCCTGTATGAGAGGCTGTGGGGAACATGGTGTGTCCAGGGACTTCCCTGGACACGTGATTACCTCATGTACACATAGTGCTCTGAAGAACGTGGTCCTTTCCTCCCTCAGTCTTGGGTCTGTGGTCTGCGTGTGGTCTGTGATCCTGGGCTGAACTGCCTGTGCTTCCACCATTGAGTGAAGCTATACTAGCTCTTGCCCAGGCCTCATTTGTTCTGAGAATGGCAGTGTGTTCAAAGGCTTTGTGTCGGTGGCCAGGTAGCAAACGTGTGAAAGTCAATTGCAGACTGAGGTAGGAGGGTGGGTGGATTTGCCAAAAGATAGTTGCCCCTTTATGTTTCACACTGGAATTAGATTGTGACCTGTGTGAAATACTTGCAACCCCTTGTAGGCAAGGTAGCTGTTGGCTACTGGGAACACGGTTGAGGAAGCTGACATAGTTTTGTCCCACTTTTAAAACCTTGCTGGATTTCAGAGCTCTGTAGATGGCCTAGTAGCTGGAGGTGCTGAGGATTGAACCCACGTCTTGTGCATTCTAGGCAAGTACTCTACCACTGAACTGTACCCCCAGCTGCCAAGAAAGATTTAAATATCATTAGGACGTGTGTGTATTTGCGTGTTTGCGTGACCTTGTGCCATAGCTTCCCACCACTGCAGCTAGAAGGAAACCAAAGTCTTACTTAGAGGAGGGCAGGCTTTGTGAGTGAGACCTTTTTTAAAGCAGCAACAGGATCTTTTCTTTGAGGGGAACATTTCCTTTCATTCAAGGGGAAAAACATCCTTTACATCTGCAGTGATGGCTTGCTGACTCAGGGGAGTTATGGAATGAGTTTTGTCGTCTGCCTGTTCCTGATTCGGAGGAGACTGAGAGGAACAGGCTCCAGCCTCCAGTCGGCAGGAATGTCTTTTTAAACAGTCGAGCAGATTCCCAGATTAGAAGGAGTCTATGCAGCTGATGTCACTGTTTCCTGAGTAATTCTGGGTGGTTATTTACTGCATCTGGCTGCCAGGGGCCAGAATCTGTGAATGAGCCTCATTATTAGGACTCTAGGTTGCAGGCATGGAGGGAAGAGCTGATCGTGGCCACAGTTAGGACGAAGGCTACAAAGACCTGCAGCCTCCAGAGCCCCAAGGAGGCTGTGGGGAGTGGGGGGCTGGCCACGGCTCTCTGGGCTACATTCTGAGGCGCGCAAAGGATGGCAGACAGCCAGGACTGAAAGGCCGCCCGCATTGCCTCAGAGGCCGCTGAGCAGCCTGGCGGTGGTAAGTGGGGCGTTTCCAGCTTAGAGCAAGCAGTGCTTTGAGAAGCACCTGTAAGTACTGTTCGGGATTTTTGTGTGTGTTTTCTTGATGTGAAGTTAGTCCATGGTTGTAATGAGTGAGCTGGGGAGATCTTGGCCCCCTGCTAATTGGTCACCATGTGCTAGTGAGTTGGTGCTGTGTGGGAGCCTGCGTTCATGCAGTCTGCCACAGACATGTAGATGCTTGATCAAGGGCGGCTTTGGGATTTCTCATGGCCCTCTTGTTCGGCTTGGAATAAGCTCTGGCGTGTGTATACAGATGGTGTTGGCCTGGCCTTCCTTTCATTGGGGTCTTTTCTTCCCAGCTGTCTTCCTTACCTGTGGCTGCACTTTAAGTAGACTTTCCCATGGAGACCACAGCTATTCCAGACTCCTTCTGTGAAGGGTTGGAATCCCAATCCTTCTGTCCCCTGTGTAGAAGACTCCTTTCTCCTGGGAGCAGCTGGTGAACCTTAGATAAGTGGGGTGGGCAATGAGCTGTCTGTCCCTTTAACACAACGTGTTGTCTCTCCAGCACAATCCTGGAGGAAGAGAAGGTGCAGCAAGAGGAGCGGATGCGGATGGAGTCCAGAAGACAGGCCACCGTGTCCTGGGACTCTGGAGGGTCTGATGAAGCACCACCCAAGGTAGCTGAGGTCTCCGCCCCAGCTTTGGGGTGCCCCTTTAACTTCTGAAGTCTGTGACTGCTGTTGTCTGTGAAATGAGCCGGCAGGCACGTCATTCTGTAGTAGATGCTCTAACATGAGCCCCTCTCTGTGCCGTTGCGGGCGTCCACTTTCCTCATGTGCAACATGCCCAACCAGGATGGGACGGGACTTGATGCTGAACTGTTCTTTCCCTCCCCACCTTCCCTCCTCCTCCTCGGTGGTAGTGTGGGAGACTCCCTTTATGGCAGTTAGATCCACTTTCCTCATGTGCAACATGCCCAACCAGGATGGGACAGGACTTGATGCTGAACTGTTCTTTCCCTCCCCATTCCCTCCTCCTCCTCGGTGGTAGTGTGGGAGACTCCCTTTATGGCAGTTAGAGATCTCTAAAGAGTCAGGTCAGAGAGTCAGGATTAAAACATCAGACTAGTCCCTGAACGCTTTACACTTGCTTTATTTAAAATGAGTCCAGTTTCATCTAATCGAATGTCTTTTGCTTTGCTTTGATTTTGCTGGAACCTTGTACTCGGTTTCTACCTGTTCTGGCCTGTGGCTGATGGCTGGATTGTTGGAGGGAGTGTTGCATTTGTCTAGGCTCCTGGTGAGACCCGGCATGACACAGCACCTGATACCCAGCCTTCTCTTGCCATCTCCAGGTTCTTCGTCTCCTCTCTGACCTCATTGCTCTTAGGATGGCTGGCCAGTTCCCATCTATTAAAAAGTCCTCAATACCTTTGGGGTTTTGGTTGCTGTGTTGCTTTTGTTGTTTTGTTTTTTGTTTTGTTTTGAGACAGGGTCTCCCTGTAGCCCTAGCTGGCCTGGAACTTGCTAAAGACCAGGCCTTTCTTTGGTTTTGATGGAATAGCCTCTTTCCACACTGTCTGGCTTGAGTAAATAATTTAATTCAGATGTGTTTCTGGAAAGTAAGCAGACAGCAAGCAAGCCTTTTAAAAATACAGTTAGTAGTTTCCTGCATTTGATACTTGGTTAGCTAAAAATGTAATTTGACACTTTATTTCATTTTCTTTTTGAAAAATATTCAGAAATCTGGTAGCACTGTATAAATATTGTACCAAGAGGATTATGACAATGCCTAAAAACATGTCTTTTCCCGTGTTGAGGTATGAAGCGATGAGCCTGGCACACCCTGGAAGTAAGTGTAGGTAGGGGTGTGAGCACAGGCCGAACAGAGGCCTCTCTCAGCCCTCCTTCCACAGATGGCACAAGTCTTCCCCTCAAGGGGCCATGCTCTGAACCAGGAAGAACTAGATGTTCCTAGCTTAACAGAAACATCCTTCTTTACCCATAGAAAAGACACAAACTCTTCATCCTAGGCACTTAAGGCACCACAGCCTCTGGGGTTTTTTGGTTTAGGGTTTTGTTTGTTGGGTGGTGGTTAGTTGGTTTTTGTGTCCTTCCTCAGCCTCCCAGCTGCCTGTTTTAATTCGTGACAATTGCAGAGTAGTCCCATTCTGAGAGGCCAGAGAATCTCCTCACTTACTTCTAAGGCCTTGAGGTCAAGCAGGTCTGTTGTCTGGGGTTGGCTATTTACAGTCCGATGACAGGTCATCCGTCCCTATTCCATCTCTTGCTCTCCTTGTTTGTGAGATGGTGGTATTAATACCCTACCTCTTGGGGATGTGGGTTGGTAAGTCACCGTATATTACTTCTTTTAGTGCTCAGAAGAGCTCTCCTACTGAACTACACTGCCAGTCTCTGAGTACTTAAGTTTCCTAAATTTTCTCATCTTTTGGCTTTTTAACAACTTCAGTTTAATTTTTAAAAATATATGTATGACTGTTTGACTTGCATGTGTGTAAGTGCACTGTGGGCATCCCTGCAGAGGCCAGAAGAGGACATCGGATCCCCTAGAACCGCAGTTAAGGACAGTTGTGAGCTGCCATGTGGGTGCTGGGAGCTGAACCCAGGTCCTCTGCAGGAGCAGCCAATGCTCCTAACTGCTGAGCCATCTCTCCAATCCCTAGTTTGACTGATTTTTAAAATTAGGCTTTTAGCTGAGCATGGTGGTGCACGCCTTTAATCCCAGCATTTGGGAGGCAGAGGCAGGCAAATCTCTGTGAGTTCAAGACCAGCCTGGTCTACATAGTGAGCTCCAGGCCATCTGAGGCTACAGGGAGACCTTGTTTTAAAAAGACCACAAAAAAAAGAGAAAAATCGGGCTTATATGGTAGAGATGGTTTGGCTTCTTTCAGTTCTAGAGTGAAAAGACCAGTTTATAATTTTATCCCTGCATGCTCAGTTTTCCCAGCCTCCCAAGGTACTTTTCAAAGTGTGTGTTTTGAGGGAGTTTTCTGTAATCAGGGCCGCTTCTGCCCAACACCTAGGTTTGTCTAAAGCAGAGGACAGTGAATGTAGCTGGATCTGTTGGGACACAGCCTCACACACTCATGAGGACCATTTCACTGGCTGGTGAGACCAGAGGTGGGCTCCCAGTCACGTTACATTTGTTAGCTGGCATTTGCATTGCTAGAGCTGTTCTTACCTTGGAACAAATCAGTCAGCATCACTAAACTGCACACACACCTTCACCACCAACCTTATACACTTAGAAAAATGACCTGGATAAGGTGTGCAGAGTGACAGTGTGAGTCCAGGCAGCACACACCCAGACAACATGCCTGTCCCGAGGATGTGCCGGGGTGACTCAGGCAGCTTTCCTCAAAAAACACCTAGCAAATATGCTGTTCACATGGTGGACATTTCCTCAAAGAATAACGGAAGTAAAGCCCTGTCTTTCAGTGAAAAAAGTTCATAGTTGCCATTGCTAAAAGTTAAGTTTTCAGTCAAAAATTCTAATTTTTAAAAACTTAGACCACCATGACCTTGACTGTTTCCCAATTGGCAGAGTGTTGTGGAGATCTCAGGGCGACATTACCGAGTGATGGTTAGAAATTATTGTGTTCGGCTTTTCCCAGGGAGACGTAAACAAACCGGTACAGTCCACATAGGGTGCAGCGACAGGCTAGAGTGTAAGTCCATGAAAGTCCAGCTCGACAAACCGGTCAGCTTATGGGGCTGACTTACCAAGCAAGGGTGACCCCAACGCAGCTATATCACCTCATCATGGACACAGCAGCACAGAGACCCCCTTCAGTCACCCTTCCACGCTGTATATTCTAACACATCCCTAGACCACGTGCAGCCGAGCATAACTATACCTGGCAGGGAGGTTCAGGAGTGCCTGGAATCTCCAGTGTCTGCCTGATGACTTCCGCACTCTCCTGTGAGGGGACATTGACAGCCTGACCTTGAGGGCCTCTCGTAAGTAATCACAGCTGCTCCGAAGAAGATGGTGCTTGCTTGGAGGAATGCCCTTCACAACAGAGATACATACTGTCTGCTGGAGTACATCAGCATTCGTCAGTCTGCTCAGCTCAGTGAGCCAGTACTTTCTAGTGCTGACAGGATGTGACAGAATTACATATGGATAAAGGGTCCATTTAAGGCGGAAGATAGAAGCTGGGTATGGTGGAGCTTGCCTGCCATTCCACATCCCAGGGCTGGGGCAGGAGGATATCAAGTTTGTGGTTACCCTGAGCTACAGAGCAAGACCCTGTCTCAAAAAGTTAACAGAAAAGGACAAGACAGGGTGATGGATTTTAATGTAACAGATTAGTGATAGGATTGAGATTCCACACTGCCCCTCATTTGCAAGAAGCTATGGCTTGGGCTGGAGAGATGGCTCAGCAGTAAAGACCACTGACTGCTCTTGTAGAGGACCTGGGTTCGATTCCCAGCACCCACATGGCAGCTACAAACCGTCCTTAACTCCAGTTCCAGGGGATTCTGAAGCCTTCTTCAGACCTCCGTGGCATTGCATGGCATGGGTACTTAACATACATACACGCAGGCAATACACTCATAAAATAAAAATAATAAATAAATTTTAAAAAAAAAGAAGTTATGGCTTGATTTTGAGTTTCTAATAGAAAATGGCATTCTCAGTTGTGCCTGCATATACCTGTCACGTGTGAGACCTGGGCTCCATCTCCAGCACACTGAATACTAAACTCCCTTTGCCAGTAGCAGCTGGATGAGTTGTCAGTTTTCTTCCCAACAGTTGCTAGTCTAGAAAGTTAATTGATAAACCAAGCAAAATAACATGTTGATACACAAAGTGGAGTTGGTCCTCGTCCTGGTTCTGGGCTTTGACCTGTTGCTACTCTGCCGCCACATCCAGCTGAGCGATGTGTAGGAGCTCTGCAAGGTGTAGATGCCTCATTGTACAGACTTGCCCTGAGGGAGGTGCCAGCCAGTTCTGGGCCTCCAGCTATGTCACTTTTTTCCCTCAGTCTCTTCCCTCACCCAGGAGGATTCGGCCAGTATCCCTTCACTGCTGTGTTTTGCTGTGATAGCCCAGGTTTTCCCAGAAGGAAGTGGTTCAGACCCACTGACCTACAGTGCAGTCACAATGATGCTTAAGAAGTGCCTTCAGAGCCGGGCGTGGGGGCGCACACCTTTAATTCCAGCCCTTGGGAACCAGAGGCAGGCGGATCGCTGTGAGTTCAAGGCCAGCCTGGTCTTCATAGTGAGTTCCAGGCCAGCTGGGGCTACAGGGAGACCCCGTTTCAGAAAGACCAAAAGAAGAAAAACTGGGCTTGGTGATGCAGCCTTTAATCTCACAGATCTCTGTGAGATTCAGGCCAACCTCATCTACATAGTGAGTTCCAGGCCAGTCGGGGCTACAGGGAGACCTTGTCTTAAAAACAGATAACAAACACACCAAAAACATAAAAAAGTAAAAAACAAACAGGAAAGAGGGAGAAAAGAAGGTGGGGGATGGATGAGAATAGCAGTCCTTTGACCTCGAAAGAAAGGGCCAGCAAGACGGATCAGCATATGAAATTGCTTGCCATGAAACATGACTACCTGAGTTCTAGCGAGACTCATGGAAAGATGGACAGAAGGAACCAACGCCTGAAAGTTGTTCCCTGACACACACACAATAATAATATGAAATGACATAGAGGAGATGCCTTCCTGTCACGGGAAAAGGCATAGTGAAAAAGAAACCAGTCATAAAGAGAGCACACAATACATGGAAGGTTCGGAGCAGGCAGGGTTGACTGCTGTCGGGGTCCTTGAGTCATGCTTCTGTGGAGCTGGGTCTGGAGCCGGCTACCCTTGGGGGGCACTGTTTGAAGTGTGACAGGGCTGAAGGCTGAGGAGACACTCTCTGCTGAGGAATTGAGCAGCTCATGGAAGCTGGAAAGGAGGGTCGTTTCCGTTTCGTCCCCACTACGCCCAGTCCCTCATGTGTGACTTTGGCTGCTGCTTTCAGCTTCTTTTTCAAACAAAACCCTTCATCTACTCTGAGCTTGGAATTCATGTATCTAAAACACAAAACAAGCATTTCGGAGCTGGATGTGGCTGGAGCAGTGCTCTGGCTTGGCCTCCTGTCCACAGGCTAGGAAACGGGACAGTCAGTTCAGCAGTGTCAGGACTGCCCACAGGGATGGAGCAGAGGTCACATGTCTGCTCCTGGCTCACTGCACAGCACATTCCGTCTCAGCCTCCTTTTGATGATAGGCCTTATGCAGCTAGGACCCACACACTGGTTTGCCTACTTAAAGCCCTCAATGTAAAATTACCCCTCTCTGTATTCAGAACTGCGTATCTCTGGCTGCTATAGATTGTCCTCCCTGCAGGCCCCTCCCCACCCCAGCAACCACCCATTTGCTCAGTGTCAACCTTGCCTGCTCTGAACTTTGCATGTATTGTGTGCTTCTTTTCCACTTAGCACGTTTTCAAAGTTCATGCATGTTGTGGTCGGTGGCACTACATCTTTCCTTTTTATTTAAGCATCACTTCATTCCTCACGAAGTTCCACTTACTGGGGCTGGTAGGTTTTGTTTGTCCACTTGTCTGCTGGTAGACGTTGCTCCCCCTTCTACATTACCAATGGCATCCTTAAGAGCATGCATGTGTGTGCTTTCACGGGGGCGAGTGCCCTTGTTGGTCTAGTGGGCTTACTGAACTGTACGGTGGTTCTGTGTTTGGTTTTCTGGGGCTCACCACAGCGCCCTGTGCAGTGCTCCATCTCACTCTCCCCACACTGAGCCAGGGCACTCTCTACTCCGCCTCACTGTTACTTTGTCTTTTTTTTTTGTTTTTTTTGTCTTTTTAAGACAGGGTCTCCCTGTAGCCCCAGCTGTCCTGGAACTCAACTGTGTAGACCAGGCTGGCCTTGAACTCAGAGATCTGCCTGCCTCTGCCTCCCAAGTGCTAACTGTCCCCGTCATCATAAAGCAGTTGCTTATTGGTTTTGATTTGGTGTTGGGCATCTTGTTTTGGCCAGTCTATATCCTCCTCAGGCCTGCTCACCGCTCCCTTCCACCCTGACGTCATTTCAATGACGTCTGCTTTATCTTGGCTCTTTCCTTCGTCTATTGTGTTTTGGATGTCATAGCTAAGAAACTGTTGCCTCCCCCTCCCCCAAGGTAATTTCAAATTTTTACTCCTATTTTCGTCTAATAATCTTAACTGTTTTAGCTCTTAAAGTTTGTGAACCATTTTAAATGTTATGTAAATTGTGAAAAGGGGGTCAAACTTGTTTTTCCATTTTTTAATTCTTGCAATTTTCTTTTATATATATTTATTATTTAATGTGTATGAGTATATTGCCTGTGTATGCACCCATGTTGTGAAATGCTGAAGAGGTCAGAAGAGGGTGTTGCATTCCCCTGGAACTGGAGTAAAGGGTGGTTTGTAGCGACCATGTGGGTCCTGGGAATCAAACCTCTGTAAAAAGCAGTCAGTGCTCTTAACTGTTGAGCCATCTCTCCAGCCCCAAATTTTTGCAGTTTTTATACACTATAGTTTGATGGTATTTACATCACATTTTATGTCTGTATCTCCCCTTACTGCCCCTCGCCCAATTTAATATATTCTCATATATATATAGCCTGTAGAGTCTGATTTGTGTCCCCATATGTCCTTCAGTGTGTGTCCATCCTCTTGACTCACCAAGTGTCCCATCCCTCTAAGGCACTGTCTTTCTCCCTCCCAGCAGCCATCAGTTGCCAAAAGTTCCTTCGGTTGTATTGGGATTCCTTACCCACGTCTCCATATATGTGCTGGAATGTTGTCTGGTTTGAGCTTGCATAGGACTTGTGCATGCTGTCTCCATTGCTGAGAGTTCATATGGGTAACTGACCAGCTGTCCAGAAGACTCTCTCCCTGTGATCATCTACCCCCTCTGGCTCTTACAAATCTTTCTGCCTCCTCTTTCACACTGATCCCAGAACACTGAGAGGCAGAGGTTTGAAATAGGTGTCCTAATAAGGGATATACACTCTTCAGCCCCTTACTCTATGCATATTGGCCAATTGTGAGTTTCTGGGTTAATTACCATCTGCTACGTGAGGAAACTTCTCTGGTGAGAATTGAGAGATGCATTCATCCTGTGTATAGAGGTTGCACTGAAGTTGTGTCCCTTAGGGTAGTAGCTCACAGACATTTATTCTCTGTGCTTGACCAGTTCTGGAACTCCATAATAGTCTTCATCCTGGCTAGTCAGACTCTCTGGCAACCTCAGTGGGACAGGGACAGAGTCCAAGAGAGCCAGCGCAAACAGGATAGGCTGGTCTTTGCTAATTAACAGAGAAGACCTGAACTCTAGAGCAGCTTGGGTCAGACTTTTTGAACTGGTTGTATAGACCAGGCTAGACTCAATCTCACAGAGATTTGCCTGCCTCTGCCTTTTCTGTGCCGGAATCAAAGGTATGTATGCTATGCCTCGTGTAGGGTGTCAGACTTCTTACATGGCTACCCGTTCACTCAGCATTATTGGAAGAGACTATTCTTTCCTCGTTTAAGTGTTTTAGCATCATTTTATTACTGTTTCCAACCAAACTGTCTTAGAGAAGTATGTTTTATTATAAGACAATTTTTCTGAATCGGAAGATTCATCCTTACAATGCTCTTTTGATTTATTCACAGCCCAGCAGACCTGGTTATCCTAGTCCAAGGTCCAGTGAAGGATTTTATCCCAGCCCGCAGCACATGGTACAGTCCAATCACTACCAGGTATACAAGTCATTGCGGATATCAAATGTGTTACTTGGCTGGTCAGCACTTTGATGGTGGGAATGTACCTACATTCATTTCTAGTCTCTAGTTTGTCTACGTATTTTGGTGAATGGAAGCTAAGAAAGTAGTCACTGGTCAGGCGTGGTGGTGCACTCCTTTAATCCCAGCACTCAGGAGGCAGAGGCAGGCAGATCCCTGTGAGTTCGAGGCCAGCCTGGTCTCCATTAGCGAATCCAGGCCAGCTGCAGCTACAGGGGGACCTTGTTTCAAAAAAGACCAAAAAGAAAGTGGTCACCTTAGTCACTGCCTCAGTGGTGGTTAGGTTGGAGCACCCCCCCCCCCAGTGCCACCCCTCCAACCTCCCAGAGGCCAAGGACAGTCATCAGTCATGTGATCTTAAAGCAGCAGGCCACCACCTCTGGCAGTTCTTCGGCCTGTTTTCTCCCTCCTGCATGTAAGGCAAAAGCTGGAGCCAGCAGGGCTCACCAGGCAGAGCTAACACTGGTGAGATGCTGTGTGGAGGAGGTGGAAGTGTGCCGGCCAGGCAGCAGACATTTGCACAAACCAGAAGATCATCCTTTAGAAGGCTGGAGGCAGAGTGAATAGCTAAGGGACAGATGAGATTCTGTTGAAGTACAATTCCTGGGTCATGAAACGTACAGGCCTCGTTGGTAATGGGCACCAGCACCCCTGTGTCCACATCCTTTTTGACACCTGGGTCCTTAGAAGGCTTTCTCCCACTCTTCTGAATCAATCCCCCCAGTGCAAAGGTTACCACCCTTCTGATCTCTGACTCTAGCTAATAGGGATGTATTTGGCCCATTGCAGAGTTTAATGTAAGTGAAGTGAGGTATGTGCTTTAGGGATCAGCATTTTACTCATGACATGGTCTGCTGAGGATAGGATACTTTGCCACCCTTTACAGGACTACGAGAACAAGTTAAGTGAAGACCTCGTGGGCCAGTATGGACGGAAATTTTTAGCTGTTGGTACTATTACCACGAGGGAAGGTTAGTGTAGGACAGTGGGATCCTGGGTAAATTTGAAGCTCCATCTACATTACCTCCAGTTTTCCATACATGAATTCTGAAGTGAGCCAAAGACTATCCCTTCACTGAGAACCATCTAGTGATTTGTAGCCAGCGCATTAGACCTTTGTTCTGGGAGGCACTGCCCCATAGTAGCCACACACAGGGGCAAGAGGATTGCCCCGAGTTCATTCATGGACCGTCTAGGTGCTTAGGACATGAAGAGGACAAGCCTGTCCTGTGAGGGGTTCACAGGGGCCCTTCAGCTGGCCAGACTAGATGTCCAGTTCAAATCAAAAGAGTTGGAACTCTGACCAGGATAGGAGTCAGAGCACCGGGAGGGATGCGGACAGGCTGAGGGCCAACTCTTCCAACGGCTGTGGGTGCTCAGCTCTGGCAAACAGCACTGCTGCCCTGGGGACATGCCCAAGGTCTGCGAGAGAGTGGCCAGAGAGGCAATGGACAGGAGCATCACTTATTTCTGAGCTGGCTTTCAGTTCTGTCTCTCCTGGACAGGCAGGAGTGTTTCCCACACACTCTCAGAGCTTGGGACTCAGGGACTTGTTTGCTAGCGGTGTCTGACCTCACTACATTGGAAGCCCCCTGAGAGATATTTAGAAAACTACTGTGTATTAGACAAAACTTCTTTAATGTGAAAATTCGTGAAATTTCTCTTGGTAGTGATAGATCAGTTTTCATCAAAGATAAGTGGGACAGGGACTAGAGAGATGGTTCAGTGGTTAGGAGCAATCGCTATTCTTCCAGAGGACCCAAGTTCAGTTCCCAGTACCCAAGTTCAGTTTGAGACAATCCGACAGCCTCTTCTGTCCTCCATGGGCACTGCACGATACAGGTGCACTTGCCTGCATGCAGGCAATACACGCATAAACACAAATAAAAATAATAGGTGCTGGAGAGATGGCTCAGTGGTTAAGAACATTGGCTGTTCTTGCAGAAGACCTGGGTTCAAATCCCAGCACCCACATGGCAGCTAACAACTGTCCATAACTCCAGTTCCAGGAGATTGGACAGCCTCTTCTGTCCTCTGCAGGCATTGTACAATACAGGTACACTTACCTACATGCAGGCAATAAACTCATACACATCCAAAAAAAAAAAAAAAGTTGCACCACTTTTTCTTTTTACATTTTTATTATTCATTTTATTTACATTTTTTATTATTTATTTATTATGTGTCTGTGTGTAGATATGTGCAGGAACTGAGTTAGGACAGTTGTTAGCTGCCATGTGGGTGCTGGGATTCAAACCCGAGTCTTCTACAAGAACAGTCAGTATTCTTAATCGCTGAGCCATCTCTCCAGCCCCACAACATTTTTCATTTAGTGGAATTCCTATTAATTAGATTCTATCCCTGTGCAGTTTTGGTATAAACCAATACCCAGAGACCTAGTAAATGTGCAAAACCTCTACTAAAGGCTGTATTGATGTTTGGGAGTATGGATCTGAACCACGTGAAGACATCCTGAGTCTGTTCCTGCCCTCTCAGCTAAGGAGGATCTGTCCCAAGATATCCTCTCTGCTCTGCTTTTGCCTGGATCTTACCACCATGTATCACTGAACATCCCCTCTCTGCTGTAGCCCCACTGTCAGATACAGACTGTGAAGCCTCTCCTGCATCATCAGCACCTCGTTCACAGGAAGCACTACAAGTTTTGTTGTGATTTTCTTGTTCTTGTTAGGGAGTTGTTTCAAATTTTTTGAGACAGGATCTTGATATTTAGCCTTAGCTAGCCTGGGACTCACTGTGTAGACCAGGTTGGCTTCAAACTGGTATTCCCCCTGTCTCTGCCTCACAAGTGTCAGGATTAGGTGGTGTGCCTCCATGCCTAGCTTTGCTGTTTGTTGTTTGAGACAGGCTCTTGCTCTGTAGCCCAGGCTTATGTGCTTGCACCACCACACTCTGTGGCTACCTTCATGGTTGCTGTGACCCTTGCTGGGGGACGGTGGTGAGCTGGGAAGGGAAATCCTGAAACTGACTGTGGGGCAGCAGTTCGTGGCTCCTGTTACTCTTACATATGGACGTGGTCCACTCTCGATATTTTCATAAATTAAAATTCCAAAGTAAATTTCTTTTTGTAATACGTGTGTACATATATGTGTGTGCATACGTGTATGCTTGTTCATGTGTATGCAGGTGAATGTGGAGGCCAGAGGACAACTTCAGGTGTTATCTTCAGGAATGCTCTTTCCTCCTTCTCATTGTTCTGGAGTTCACCAATTAGGATACACGGGCTGGGCAACAAGTCCTAGGGATCTTTGTCTCCACCTGTCTCCTTCAAGTGTACACCACCCCGCCCTGCTTTTTTTTTTTTTTTTTTTCTTTTTGAGACAGGGTCTCCCTGTAGCCCCAGCTAGCCTGGAACTCACTATGTAGAGCAGGCTGGCCTTGAACTCACAGAGATACACTTGCCTCTGCCTCCGAGTGCTGGGATTAAAGGCCTGTGCCACCACGCCCAACAGCCCTACATTTTAAAAAATAACTTATTTTAATTTTTTATGTATATGAGTGTCATGCATGAGTGTACCCATGTCATGCAGAGGACAGAAGAGAACATCAAATTCCCTGGAACTGGAGTTACAGTTGTTAGCCACCATGTGGGTGCTGGAATTCAAACCCCAGTCTTCTGCAAGAGCGGTCAGTGCTCTTAATCGCTGAGCCATCTCTGCAGTCCCGATGCCCTGCGTTTTTATGTGACTCCTGGGGATCAAACTCGGGTCTCATGCTTGTGAGGCAGCCTTTACCGAGTGAGCTAGCCTCCAGCCCCCATAACTAGCTTCTTGTCTCTTGGCATATGTTTGTATTCACTTTCTATTACAGAGACAGAAAATTGCCTTTCCTGAAACTATTATTAAGAACCCACTTCTTGCAGAGAACCTGGGTTCAGTTCCCCGCACCCACGCCATTGGCTTATAGCTACCTGTAACTCCAGCTCCAGAGTATCCAACACCTCTGTCTTCCACCAGCACCTGTACTCACATGCACTTATAGACACACACACACAAAACCAGTAAAAAAGAAATCTTTTCGAAGAAGAACCACCTCGTGTGCTACTGTCTGCTGCCTGAGTTCATGGTCCCTCTGTCCAAGTTCCTGCCAAGTTCAAAGAGGGCAGTGTGGGGTCTCCCCGACCTGTTCTTAGTCCTCTGCTTTCAGCCTGACTTATGTTGGGTCTTATGGAATAATCCAGTCAACTCCCATCTCAGTGACCATGAGACAGAGGCACCATCTACAAAGCCCTTTTGTCAAGTCACACAACATTCATGTTCATGGGATTAGGCTTGGAGATGGTGGCCTTTTTCTAGCATCCTTTCTCTGTAATGGAAGTTGGTTTGTTTTGTGTGTCATCAGAACCAAGCTGAAGCTCTGTTGTACCATAAGCTCACCTTGACTTCTGCATCATTTACAGGTCTCTGGCTACCCAGGTTCCCATGGAATTACAGCCATGGCCGGCAGTATCTACCCAGGTCAGGCACCTCTTCTGGACCCGTCAGAGTCATGGACTCACAGACCTCAGGAGATGTCTGTGTGGCAGCCTAGTGTGGAGGTAACTGAGTGTTCCTGGCTAGAGCTGATTCCTGGGCAAAGTGTGGTTTAAGGCACCTCTTTCTTATACGTCTGAGATTGTTTGACTGTGGTTATTCTAAAAATCAAGATACCCCATCTAGCCGAATTTGATTGTACATACCGATAATCTCAGATGAGGCAAGAGGATTGTGAGTTCGAGGCCAACCTAGGCTACATAGCCAGACCTTACCTCAAACAAAACAAAGCCAGTGAGATGACTCCACAGGTAATGGCACTTGGCCCAGCAAGCCTGACCACCTGAGTTTGATCCCCTGAACCCACTGTGGAAGGAGAGAATGTGATCCTGAAGTTGTCCCCGACTTCTGCATGCGTAAGCACACACACACACACACACACACACACACAATAAAAATGTTAAGAAGAAGAAAATGAAAAAAAGTTTAGATGCCCTGTCTACTCAAATATTCTCTGGTTTTGAGGTTTTTGTTTTTTAAAAACTACCAGGGGCTGGAAGCACAGCTCAGTGGTAGAGTCCTTGCCTAGCATGTAGGTGGCCTTAGGCTCAATCCCTACAGAAAGATGGAAAAAAGAAAAGGGTGCTCTAGTCATAGACCATTCAGTTCATTGGAAAGATAGAGCCCTCAGATGAGTATAGCTAGCACACCCTGAGGCTGAAGAAGACATGGCTGAGCCTTGTTCTGTGGACCATGTTGATTTATTTGCAGATTTTTTGGTAAAACTGAAGAGACTTCTGTAGTGCTGTTCATTTGGATTAAAGAGCTTCTATAGTTACCTGTGATTTGTTTTGTTTTCTTTGAAGTAAACATGTGTCTTTTACATTCTTGATTTTGGGGCTGGAGAGATGGCTCAGCGGTTAAGAACACTGCTTGTTCTTGCAGAAGATGCAGGTTCGAATCCCAGCACCCACATGGCAGCTAACAACTGTCCATAACTCCAGTTCCAGGGGATCTGACAGCCTCTTCTGTCCTCGGGCATTGCATGACACAGGTGCACCTAACTACATGCAGGCAATACACTCATACACATAAAAATAATAAATAAAAACAAATTGTTGATTTGTGGTTTTGGGTTTCGAGATGGTCTCCTTGTAGATCCGCCTGCCTCTGCCTCCTGAGTACTGGCATTAAAGGTGTGCATTAGCACACCTGGCTACATTTTTTTGTGTGTGCGTGATTGTTCTTTCTGCCTATATGTATGTGCACCACATATGTGCTTGGTGCCGGTGAACGGCCAGGACAGAGTGTTGAATCCCCTGGTACTGAACTTAAATGTGATTTTGAGCTGCCATTTAGGTGCTGGGAACTGAACCGGAGTCCTCTGTGAGCCGCAAATGTTCTTAACCCTGAGTATCTCTCCAGCCCCGTGTTGTTGTTGTTTGTGTTTTTTCTGTGACATTGTTTCTCGTAGCTCAGGCTAACCTTGAGCTCCCTGTGTAGCCAGGGATGATCTTGAACTTCCTGTCCTCCTGCTTCTATGTCCTGAGTGCTAGGTTTGCAGGCCTGCACCCCTACATTTATGCACTGCTGGGGATTGAACGCAGGACTTTATGGGTTCAATGTAAACAAGCTTTCTGCCAACAGAGTTGCATCCCCAGTCACTGGTTTTTTGTGTGTTTCAGTTCTTGGTGTTTGGTTTGGTCTGGCTTGGTTTCTCTTTCTGAGACAGGGTCTCTCTGTAGCCCCAGCTGGCTTGGAACTTGCTGTGGACACCAGGTTGGCCTCGATCTCTTGTGATCTGCCTGCCTCTGCATCCTGAGTGTTGGGATTAAAAGCGTGTACCACTGTGTTTTAAAATTTTTGTTTTCAGTGGGGAAGAAGGAGCTAAGTGTGGGTTTGTGTGCCACAGTGCACATGTGGAGGTCAGAGGACAACTTTATGGAGCTGGTTCTCTCTACCTTCACAGGATTCCCGGAACTGGACTCTAGATCACTAGGTTTGTGAGAAAATTGCCACAGAGCAATTTTGTTGACTCCTTCTGTGGTTTTTATAAGACCAAGTCTCATATTCAAGCTGACCTTGAACCTACTGTGTAACCAAAGCTGACCTTGGACTCCTGATCTTCCTTCCTTAGGCTTCCAAATGTTGGATAACATGTATGCCACCATGCCTAGCGTCTATGTATGCCGTATTTAAACGTGTGCTCAAGTTCCTACTGTAAATAGTAATACATTCTTCATATGTCTAGGGTTACTCCGTAGAGACAGCCCATACACATGACTATGGAATACCATGAAGTTTGGCTGGAGTGTGAGAGGCCCTGTGTCCATCACTGTTTAACTGTTTCAAAGACCCACAGCACAAAGTAGTAATACAAGAACAGGCTCAGGAGACCAAGTACTCTGTTGCCAACTGTCTCTTCCAGGACTCTTCATTGTTAGACCTTCGAGGGATCGGACAGGTGCTTCCCCCCCACCTCATGGAAGAGCGGCTGATCCGACAGCAGCAGGAAATGGAAGAAGACCAGCGCTGGTTGGAGAAGGAGGAGAGATTTCTGGTAAGCATGCTCCAGAGCAGTGTCTTCACTTGCTAAACCCTGTTCAGGTCTTCTGCATCACTTGTGACTGCAAACCCCCATTTCCAAAGAAAAGAGTTGCTTTCACGTCTGGTTTCTAACTCATGGGTTATTTGCTTTTCTTAATGATTTTTTAGGGACCAGTTTCTAAAATCTCATAGTACATTACAGCTCAGAGCATTCCTGTGTTGCTGGTAGTGGTGGTGGTGGTGGTGTTTCCCATTACCACATTATTTGCACAGAAAGGAATCAGTTAAGTGTTAGTGTGAACATAAGTGTTGCATGTCAGTGCTGCTGTCCATGTGTGCTAAGCCTACTTTAAGTCTTGGCCTTCTTCCCTCCACTCTGTAGCATAATGTGGCAGATGCATCTGGACCACAAGATGGGAAAGTCTTTCAGGCAACTCTCGGCAGTTCTTTTTAGAAGTCCTGTGAGGACATAGAACTCGTTGTCTGTTCCTGGACCTAAAGATCTTTCTGGATTGCTGTGTCCTTGACTTCAGAACTGGGGCCTGTGAGACATACTCCTCCTCCCCTCCAGTTGTAGGAAAAGTAGCTGGAGAGAACCATGGTTTGTGCCACTTCCACAGTCTTGGTGGCTTTACCTGGGCAGCCCTGAGCATTACCTCCTGCTTTGACTCAGTCAGTATTCACCAGCAACACCTTTGTGCTCCATTTTGTGCTGAGGGACAAGATCCATTGAGGGCAGGGTCCAGTCCTGTTCCTGAACTGCTTAAAGTCTGTGGAAGAAGCATGTAAAGCAGCCAGTGGTGTTGTCAGACAGTGCACCCTGTGCTCTGCAGCTCTCGTCCATTCTTTGTGTATAGCTTTTGTTTCTGTGGGCTGTTTCCATGCTGTCTGGACAGCTAAACGCAGAGCCTCATGCATGCTAGCCATGTGCTCTAACACAGATCTACACCCCTAGCCATGTAGCTTTCAGACAAAGGGACCACCACACACAAGTTGGTAGAAAATGCTTTAGTGTGTGCAGACAGACAGTGCATCAAGTTGCACTCCCAAGGAGGTCTTGGTGCAGCTCAGAAAAACAGCCACATGTGTGGGCACATGGTAACTGGGAAGTAGATCACACTGAGGGAGCTCTTTTCTCAATGTCTTTTAAAAGTTCCTTCCTTTCTTCTTTTTTTTTTTGGCCTTTTTGAGACAGGATCTTCCTGTAGCCCCAGCTGGCCTGGAACTCCCTTGGTAGACCAGGATGGCCTTGAACTCACAGAGATCACCAGCCTCTGCCTCCTGGGTGCTAGGATGAGAGGTGTGTGCCACCATGTCCAATTACATGTGGAGGTCTGAGAACAAGCTGCAGGAGTAGATTTTCTTCTTCACTGTGCTGGATGGCTTTAGTGTCAACTTGACACACCTGGGTTGAAGGAGCCTCAATCGAGAAATTGCCTCTATTGGACTGGCCTGTGGCCATGTCTGAGGGGCATCTTCTTGATGAGTGATGTGGGAGGGCCCAGCCCACTGTGGGTGGTGCCACCCCTGGGCAGGTGGGCCTGTGTTGCATAAGAAAGCAGGCTGAGCAGGGGCCAGGGAGCAAGTCAGGAAGCAGTTATCCTCCATGGACTGTGGTCCAGCTCCTGCCTCCAGGTTCTTATTCTGAGTTCCTTCCTTGGGCTCCCTGATGAACTGTGACCCGGGAGATGTAAGATAAATAAACCCTTTCTTCCCCAGGTTGGTAGTGGTCAGAGTGTTTTGTCACAGCAATGGAGAAACAAACTAGGATATTCACTATATGGTTTTCCAGGGATGGCTTTCAGATTATCAGGCTTGGCAGCAGGCTCCTTTACCTGCTGAGTCATCACACTGGCCCTTGGTGTCTTTCTCTTTTGAGACAGGGTCTCACTACGTAGGCCTACCTAGCCTGGAACTCTCTATACTGACCAGGCTGCCTCAAATTCATAGAGATCTACCTGCTTCTGCCTCTTCAGTGCTAGGATCAAAGGCGTGCACTACCACATCAGCCACTGTCTTTTTATTTAGGCCTCAGGTGTCACACATTCCCCACACTTCAGTTTTCTGCCCCTCATCACAGCATAGTACTTAGCAGCTGTGCTTACCGAAATTACCTGTGAGGAGGACAATAAACAAACAGTAGCAGTGCTACTGACATGCATGCGTTTACTACCCTCTTTTCCTGTATAAAATTGTTCAGTCTATGAACAATCTGAACCTGTGCAATTAGGACAGGTTCATAGTTCTTTTTCCAACACTGTGAGGCTATCTGTGCCTCAGAATTCCGTGGTTTTTATTTTAACCACTTAGAAAGTTAATATATGGCACAGATTATATGTTCTATAATTCTCATCTAAAATCCCAGAGTCAGAACCATTAACATTTCCACACAAAATGCAAATAGTCACATTAACAGGGAAATAAAGATAAAATAGCTTACATTGGATCAGGTTTCAATGGTTTAAACCATTACTTTTTTTTTTTTTTTTTTTTTTTTTTTTTTTTTTTTTTTTGGTCTTTTTGAGACGGGGTGTCCCTGTAACCCCAGCTGGCTTGGAACTTGCTATGTAGACCAGGCTGGCCTTGAACTCACAGAGATCCACCTGCCTCTGCCTCCAAGTGCTGGGACTACAGGCGTGCACCACCACGCCTGGCCTGATGCCCTCTTCTGACCTCTGTGGGCATTGCATGACACGGGTGCATACACATAAAATAAAAGTAAAATTTAAAATTTCCTTGAGTAAATTATTTGAATTCTCCAAACTAGAGCTAGTAGGTTTCAGTCAGGTATGGTGTGTGTGGCTCTATTGAGCAGAGGTTTGCTGCTAGTCACAGGGTGCTGTCACCGGCTTGCTCTGCCAAGGGAGGATGCAAGAGAAGAGGAGCCTCTGTGCCTGAGGCGGTTGGGGGGAGGCAGCAGAGTCCAGAGGACGTGTGAGCCAAGGCTTAAAAGAGAAACTGGAATTTACAGAACAAACAGGCTCAGGAAGTACATTCCTGGCAGAGGGAGGAGCGTGGGTAGTAACGAGGGGTCGTGGGACTGGCGTGGCCGGATGTGACTCAAGCTGGTCTTCTGAGGGATTGGGGCATTCTCATCAGAAGACTCAGGAGTGCCTATATTCTGGAGGCTGCTGCGTACCAGGCCTTTTCGAGATTATTTTCATGTGTTGAGTATCTCGATCTGAAGCTCACAGTGTGAATTGTGAATGCCTAACTCATGCTCCATGCAAGGTGCCTCCAGGTAGCTCCCCATGTGTGTGCATAGCCCATCTGTAGTGCTGCGTGAGGTATTCGCTACACTCTGCTCAGTGAGCCTGGGCTCCTGACTGCATGTTCACCTTGTTGTACCCCCTTCCATATGCAAGGCCTGCTGAAGCCTCTTCACAATTCAGCTCTGATCACTCCAGTACACCTTCTGTAACCTTCCCCCAGAACCCTTGTTCTTTGCCTTTTAAAGTGCTGACCATTTGTGTAGAGCCTTGCTTACACCCATTCTTCATCAGCACCAAGCTTGTCTGCATTTCTGGGTCGGGAGCTTGATTGTTACTTTACCTGCCGCCGCCACCACCACTGCTGCTACCATTGCCATTGTTACAGGTCTTGCTAAATTGTCCAGGTTGGCCTTGAACTCACTCTGTAGCCTAGGAGGCCCTGAGCCGACAGTCCTCCTGCCTCAAGAGTCCTAACTAGCTAATTACGGGCCTGTGCCACCATACCCAGTTTACCTTCTGTTGTCTAATAATTATCCTAGGAAGGATTTTTTTGACCTGTTCACTTGGATTTCAAAATTTTTCTTAAAAAAGAAAGTCATTAGAGTTGGGTAGGAGTATTTGACCAGCATATGTAAAGCCCTGGGTTCAGTCCCCAGTATGGGGAAAACCAATCCTTTAGCCGAGTGTGCTGGCACACGCTGTTAACTCTAGTACTCTGGTACTCGGGAGGCTGAGGCAGACTTGCTGTGAGTTCCAGGCCAGCCTGGCTAGTGTGAGACCCTCTTGTTAACATCAGTTTTTTTTCTTTTTCTTCATTTTCAGGTTTTGGGTTTGTTTGTTTTTTTATCTTTTTGAGACAGGGTCTCCCTGTAGCCCCAGCTGTCCTGGAACTCACTATGTAGACCAGGCTGGCCTCGAACTCACAGAGATCTGCCTGCCTCTGCCTCCCAAGTGCTGAGATTAAAGACATGCACCATCACGCCCAGCCATTTTCAGTTTTTATTACATAGTTTATGTTTCTCTCCTGAAAAAAAAAAAAAATACTATTGGCTGCTTCTGACCTTGTATTCTTTGCCTGGTTTTATTTAAAGATGCTGTCTGTTCTCCATGAAGTATGACTTTGTGTATGTTTTTAAACCTGCTACCTGGTTAGAGCTGCTGGATTGGGCTTTATTTGTCCTATTTCATTTAGAATTTGGTACTGATGCTCATAGTGAGAATGATTTATCATTGGTGGGTTCAGGATCAAAACCATAATGCTTCATAAATGAGTAAAGTGTTGATGTCTTTGGTGTGGCTGCAACTGCTGCTACCTCCCCTACCCCCCCCATTAAGTATTTTCATGTTGTTCCTCTGACACACAGACCCTTACAAAACTGAAGCACTGCCTCTTCACACCCCCGCAGTCGGTGACTTCTGCTTAGTTCTTGACCCCTGCCACCTTCTCACCAGCCCTGACTGCATCAGCCTCCTTACAGGCCTGCCCCCAGCCCTTCTCAGCAGGCGCCAGTGCCCGCCTTTGTGGACAAGACGTAGCCCCAATGCCCATGGGGTGCTGAGGAGAAAAGGGCAGGCAAGTGGTTACTAGCTGCTGTGAGGAAGCAGTGGGCAGAGAGGAGAGCAGGTGAGAAGAATCTGGGGAGGAGTTCATTCCAGCCTCAGAGAGGCAGCAGGTGCAGAGCCCAGGGTGAGCCTGCAAGGTGGTCAAAGGTGAGGAGCAGAGAATGGAGGTACTCAGATCTCATTCTTCTCTGCTACAAAACCACCAAAATTCCTTCGTGAGACTGTAGGGGGACCACTTGCTCTCTTCAGAATGCTACTGTTGCATCCGTTTCCATATGGAGCCCTTGGAGGTATATAGGAGCAGGGTTGGGGAGTTCCTGGGTGGTGGGCACAAGCAGGGGTACGGGGAGAAGGCAGGCAAGCCTGAGGACTTCCCTCCTTGAGCTCCAGGCCAGTGGTCATAACTTGAAAGAAAGGGTAAGACAGCAACAAGTAAATTCCTGTGTTCCCTTGGTCCACTTTAAATCACAATGAAGTGTTCTCTGAAATGCTGACAACTCCAAGCTCCTCCCGACCATGGCTGAAACACTTATGTGTAAAGTACAGTCTGGTCCTGCCTTCTCAGAATTCCTGCCAAGTAACTCCTAGCCATAGGAGATACAACCTCTCTCAGCTCCCCTCCCCACTGAACACCTCTTTGTGTTCCAAGCTGGTCCATAATGTCTGTCCTCTGGGTATAGTAACCTCCTTGCCTCACCTGCCAACTCCCAGTCATACCTTTTGGTCTGACTAAAGCTCCTCTCTCCTGGAAGCCTTCCCGTGACGGCTCTCAGGACGCCACCCTCCACTGTTTCCATACCGTAAAGCTCTTGATGTCTTAAGGGAGAAGAATTCATTCTGCCAGGGAAAACTTGAAAACATAGGATATGTTGAGTATAGACTGAATAACCACTTTATTTGTGAGGCATGGAGTACATCACAAATACAGAAGTTCAAAAAGATCAGGTGCCAGGCCTGGTGGCACACTCTGTGAGTTTGAGGCCATAGTGCTCTACAGAGCAAAGGCAAGCCCAGCCAGGGCTACAAGGACAGTCTATTTCAGAAGAACAATCAGCAGGCAACAATGTTCCTAAAGACCAGGGTTTACTCTTGGTGTTTGAGGGTTTTCCTGTGTGCTCAAGGATGCTAAGCAGCACCTAGCCTGTGCCTGGTAGAGGCAACATTAGAGAGGCCTGTGTATGGCATTGTGTTACTCCAGCCATGGCAGCTATGGCCCCTCCACTGCTTGCAAGACTGGTTCGGTTTGTGTGGTGCAGCAGAGGGAGCCCAGGACCCGAGCACTCTCCTGGCTATACCAGCCTCCCGTGCACATCTTTCTGGGGAACCTCGTGCCCTCACCATCCTTGTTCTTCAGCCTTTCTGTTATATAATTTTGGGATGTTCTCAAGGTGCCTAAACTGAAGGCCACGGTAGTGTCAAGACTATTTCCTCCATCAATACCATTTGTGCCGCTACCCCACCCCCCCCACCGCCCGCTAGACTGAGGGCTCCTAGGACCGGGGCCAACGTCCGTCCCATCACAGCTCAGGTCCTGTGCCTGGCATAGAAGGTGCTGTAAGCTGGAGTCTGGGAGCACTGCTTATCTCATGCTTTTTCTTGTGTTGCTGCATCTGCCTTGGGATATCTCCTCCTGCCCGTGCGTTTGGGCTCACTTCATGAATCTGGGCACAAGAGGACAGGCTGGCACAGTACACCATTCCCCTCCAGAGAGCGACCAGCTGAGTTTTAGGTCCTGACACCTACCATTTCTTCCTCACTGACCTTGAGCAAATCACCTCTCTCCAGCACAGATTGCATCTTAGAATGGGAATGAGAATCAGTAGTGGTGATGTGTGGACAGGGGAAGAGCAGGCACTGTCTGTCTTCAGAGGGCTTGAGCTCTCACTTGCTCTCATCTGCATGCATCTCTTGACTTTAGCGCAGCCAGGGCATGTGCCTGTGTCTCTCACAGTGTGCCTTTGGCTGGTCCCTGGACACCTGTGACCACTGCAATGAGGAGGAGATTACTGTCTCCCCTACAGAGGTTGTGCAGAAAGGCCAGGGCAGTGTTGCCCTCTGATGGTTTTGTTAGGACATCGACACCCCAGTAATCTGAACATAGTGTGTTTCTCCCAGGGTTCTGAGTCTGCAGGAAGTGAGGGATTTAGCAAGTGTCCAAATTATTATAGGTCAAAACTTTTATGAAATAAATTAGGAAATGGACATTTTTTTAAAAGAAATATGAAATACAAGACAAACTTCCTTATTTCTTTTAAATTTGTGTGTGAGAGAGAGTGTGAGAGAGAGAATGTGATGATGATGTATATGTGGACAGCTTGTAAGAACTGGTTCTCCTTCCACCAGGAAGACCAGGTATCAAACTCAGGTTATTACGTTTGGCACAGGAAGCACTTTTATAAGCAGAGCCACCTTGTCAGCCCCGTGCTTTCTTTTCATGAACTCCAGCAGCTGACAGACTCTTGAGGTTGCTCTGGAGCCTCTGGAGATGCCCATTCTGTCCCCCCACATGGTGAACTGTGCAGTATTTCTGGCTGCTCTCTCTTGGCTTGTACGCTGCCATTCTCCTTAGTGAACTCACTTCATGCACCCTGGCAGCTGGGCTATGTTTGAAAATCGGCTAGCTTTGTCCGTGCTATTGTCTAGATTTTTGCCTCTGGGTTCACTGTAGCTGTTGCTTGGAAGACTTCTGTTTCCAGAACTCGGGCTAGTTTTTGTGGTTACTGCTGTGAGCTGCTGTCAACCACTGAATCATTAACCAAGTCCTTCTGTGGGTCAGACATCCCTCCTCAGCAATCTCTCCTCAGACCCCTGTTAACGTGACCCTACACAGAGTGCTTTGCGACAACAGCTCCAGCTGAGGTCACAAGCCGTCGCTGCAATAGATGCTCTCTGTTGGACTTGTTCTGTTTCGTTCCCCAGCTCAGAACAGCGGCCTCTGAGATAAGCAGTGTGTGTGGACCCCCTGCCATTAAGAGCGCTCCTATAGACTTGACCAGCTTGCTAGCAGCCAGGGCAGAGCTGCTGTCTGCTGAGAAGCCTTGCTTTCCTTTCAGGCACTGCTTTCAAAAAGTGGCTTGGCTTTTTCTTACCACGTGCACTGTAGTTTTCTAGTGTGGTGCTGTACTGAGAAAAGGATCTCAGCACTAATAGAGTAAGTCCTATCTGCATAGCGCGTACTACGTGGCTTTCTGAGAAGGAAAGAGAGCAGTGCCATCTTTCTCTCCTACAGCAGACCCAGTCAGTCCTCCAAAGAAAGCCAAGTGGGTGCTAGGGAACAGCAGAAGTCTGCCCGCCAGAGGACAGGCCAGTGCTGTCCTCAGCCCTCCCCCAGACTTGCAGGCTTGAAGGCAGCAGAGTCTAGTCCAAGAGAAAAGCCTCTGCATCAAAAGCCTTGGACATCTCCTAGCAGCATGAGCTATGGAGTCAGGAGCTGACCTGTCTGTGCAACAGAAGGCCTAGTAGTGAGGACAGTGCAGAGGCCATCAGAGGGCTGCTCTGACCTCCCATATGTCTCTGCGGTAGGAAGTACAGGGCCTCACCTCAGGAAAAAAGGTAGTGAGGGAGATGGTGTCAGTGGGTAAAGGTACTTGTCACTGAGCCTAACAACCTGAGTTTGGATTCCCAAGGGCTCATGTGGTAGAAGCAGAGAGCCGACTCCCGTAAGTGGTCCTCTGACCTTCATTCATACACACTAAATTAAATTAATAATTTTGAATAATGTAAGTTTTTAATTAAGGAAAATAAAAATAAACCAAGCTGTACCTAAATACTGACACTGGGTCAGGCATAAGCTCACAGACCTGAGCCACAGTGAGGACTCGACAGCACAGACAGCACAACGGCACTTCATTTTGCCTAAAGATGGTCCTGAAAGAGGCAGGAAGACTGGGTGGTTGAGGGGTTGGGGCCACAGCATAGGAGAGTTGGGTATAAAAGGAAGAATTTTATACAAAATCTGTTGGTAACTTGGAAATAAAAAATGAAATTGACTTGGCCTTGTCTTAATCTCTGTAGAAACCTGATGTGAGGCTCTCTCGAGGCAGCATTGACCGAGAAGATGGGAGTCTTCAGGGTCCGGTGAGTACCTCTCCAAGCTGTCCTGAGTTTGCTTTTCAAGGTTTCAAGCTCTGCTTATGCTTAGACGTTCTGCCCGTGTGGTATAAGACATCCTCATTAATGGTACAGAATAGGATGACTCATGCAGATAAAGTTATCTGAGGCTGTCGGAATAGGTCATGTATTGAATTCTCGCTCAGTTAGAGTCCTGTCCCATTATTAATATAGCCTTTTAGCAGTCAGCTACAGTCTGTGTGACCTAAGGAAGTAGGGGTGCACGCTAACTGGTGACACACCATTGTCATTTGATAACTTCCCATTCTCTTAGTTTTCTGGTTTGATTTGGGTGTTTGAAGCAGGGTCTCGTGTACCTTAACCTTCCTCCTGCCTCCCCCCTCCAAGTGCTGGGGTTACAGGTGTGCTGTGCCATGTTCACCTCACATTTCTGTACTCGATGCACCGTTATAAACGTTTCCACACTTATAAAGCTTATTCAAGTAAGACTTCTTTCTTCTGGGTATTAAAGGGAAACACCTGGATTCTGTGTAAAGAGCCAGCTCTTGACATGGGACTCTTGCAGCGGCCTAATTACAGCCTGCACACGCACACCACACCTTGCAAGATGGCCCCACCATGTTCCGGAACAGGTCTTTCTAGTTTCATTGAACTCTGAATTTCACTGCTGGGCCTATGAGCGCAGCATAGCCCACAGATACTGTTGTTAAAGGTTTGTCCACACTGGCCATTTCTGCACTCTGTCTCTTCCCACACACAAGCCACCTGGCCATTCCCCAGGCAGTCACCCTCTGCTTCTAGAGTGCTGCATGGCACACCTCAGGGATCAGTGTTTCCCATGTGTCCACTGTCTCCTTCCACTTTGCCATCAGCTCCATGGGGCGGGAATCTGTTCTGTACCTAGACAGTGGCAGGAACAGAGCAGGAGCTCAGCACCTCCCCTAACATCAGGAGGTGGGTGGCATGCAAAGTGGGAAGCACTGTGCAAAGTGAGTTGTTAGGGAACCACTCTTCACACCTCCAGCTCTGAGGAGTTTGCAAGTATTTACATTCGGAAATGGGGTCGGCTCATCTCTCAGTGACATAATATGTGTATGAGTGTGTGATAAAGTATATTGCATGCATGAGATCCTGGGTTTTATCCTGAAACTACCAGAAATTAAAGGGGCGGTTGTCAGATACGGTGACACAGTCCTGTAGTCCCAGCCACTTAAAGTGCTGAGGCAGGGGCTAGAAAGATGGCTCAGTGTTAAGAGTACTTGCTCTCCCCTATGGACCAGTGTGGATCACAGCATCCACATGAGACAGCTCATCAAAGCTTGTAACTCACCGGGCGTGGTGGTGCACGCCTGTAGTCCCAGCACTTTGGAGGCAGAGGCAGGCTGACCTCTGTGAGTTCAAGGCCAGCCTGGTCTACAGAGTGAGTTCCAGGACAGCTGGGACTACAGGGAGACCCTGTCTCAAAAAGAACCCCTCCCCCACCAAAAAAAAAAAGCTTGTAACTCCAGGGCTGGAAAGATGGCTCAGCCCTTAAGAGCACTGGCTGTCTTTTCTTGCAGAGGGACCTGGGTTCAGTTCCCAGCACCTGCTGGCAGCTAACAACTTTCCATAACTCCAGTTCCAGGGGAGCCAACATCATCTTCTGTCCTCTGCAGGCACTGCACGACAGCAGTGAACTTACACATATATGTACAGGCTAAACACTCACACGTTAGGAAAGGAAAACAAAAAAGATTGTAGCTCCAGCTCCAGGGAATTCAATGCCTCGTTCTGGCCTGTGCACACCCCCACATATGTGTGTACATACTCACACACATAAATAATCTTAAAATTGAATCTTTTTTAAAAAGAAAAAGATACAGAGGATCACTTGAGCCAGGAATTTCTCCCCAGAGTGGGCAGTGCACCAAGATCCTATATAAAAGTCAACAACTAAGTCATTTAAATACTCAAATAAATGGTATTTTAAAAAGTCAGTGTAGAGCCAGGTGTGGTGAGTGACACCCACCTTTAATTCCAGCTCTCAGGAGGGAGAGGCAGGTGGATCTCCATGAGTTCCAGGCCAGCTGGGGCTACCAAAAACCCTGTCTCAAAAAGACCAAAACAACAAAAAACCTCAATGCAGGGCTTGGTGTGGTGATGCATGCCTTTAATCCCAGCATTCAGGAGGCTGGGGCAGGTGTATCTCTGTGAGTTTGAAGCCAGGCTGGTCTATATAGCAAGTTCTAGGTCAACCAGGGCTATATAGTAAGACATGTAAATGGCATGCTGTTAACTGTGATTCTGGGTCAAGACAGGGATTAAAACCAGGGCCTTGCACATTTATGGTAAGCAGGCATTCTGCCATCGAAACTGTGTATCTAGCCCTTTGGGTGAATGTAGCAATTAGAAATTTTCTTATTTTCTTATTTTTGGGGTTTTTATTTTGTTTTTTTGTTTTTGTTTTGAGACAGGGTCTCCGTGTATCCCAGATGAGCCTCAAACTTTGTAACCAAGAATGACCTTAACTTTTTGATCTTCCTGCCTCTACTTACCAACTGCTAGTTTTACAGACATGTACTACCATGCCTGGTTTGTGTTACTGGAAATGGATTTGAGGCTTTGTGCATACTAGGGAAGGACTCTGCCAGCCGAGCTACATCCTCAGCCACAAAGGAGTTTTAATTGTGTGTACAATTTTATGGCATTTTGTGTGTGTGTGTATGTATGGCATTATATATATATATATATGTATGTATGTATGTATGTTTTTTAGAGAGAGTCTCACTTAGTAATCCTGGCTGACTTAAAACTCTCTATGTAGACCGGGCTGGCCTTAAACTCACAGTGATCTGCCTGCCTTTGCCTTCTGAGTGCAGAAATTAAATGCATGCATCACTATACCTGGCCTGTCTCATATTTTAAAGACGTGATCATTCCAGTTGAAAATAAGACACCATATACACATGTGTTCATGTGTGTGTTTGTGTGCTCACACATGCATTCTAGTAAGACCCTTATCCCCATTTAGTTAGATTCAGGTAGGATTTTTGTTGTTGCCATTATTAGATACAACCCAGACCCTCATACATACTAGGCAAGTGGCTGTTCTTGAGCTGTGTCTCCCAGGAGATAGGGGTTTTGTTTTGTTTCTGTTCTTTGAGACAGGATCTCCCTGTAGCCCTAGCTGGCCTGGAATTTGCTACATGATCCAGGCTGGCCTCGATTACAGAGACCTGCCTGCCCCTCTGCCCCCTTTCTGCTGGAAAACTGCCATCATTCCAGGCTGCAAAGAGATTTTTTTTCTTTATTATTTTTATTTTATGTGTATGTGTGTATTGCCTGTATAAGTGCACCCCTGTTGTGCAGTGCTCTTAGAAGTCAGAAGAAGGCATTGGATCCCTGAGAACTGGAGTTACAGACAGTTGTTAGCCACCATGTAGGTGCTAGGAATCAATCTGGTTCCTCTGAGAGAGCAGTCAGTGCTCTTAACCACTGGGCCATCTCTTCAGCCCCGCAAATAGATTATTTTAAGTGCATTTTCAGAAGCTTGATACAGTGGCACATACCTGTAATCCCAGCTCTTGGGAGGCATAGCCAGGAGAGTGAATTTTAGGCCAGCCTAGGCTGCCTAAGGAGACAGTGCCATAACAAAACTCACATGCAATTTTAGGAAAGAGCATGGAGGAGGACTTGCCTTAGGTAGAGCTGTGTTTTTTTTTTTTAATATTTATTATTTTTATTTTATGTGTATGAGTGTATTGCCTGCATGTATGTGAGTGCACCCATGTCATGCAATGCCGCGGAGGTCAAAAGAGGGCGTCAGATTCCCCTGGAACTGGAGTTAAGGACAGTTTGTAGCTATCATGTCGGTGCCGGGAATCAAACTCGGGTCCTCTGTAAGAGCAGTCAGTGCTCTTAATTGCTGAGCCATCTCTCCAGCCCATGGTAGAGCTGTCTTTTTATCCATCCCTAAAGCAGTCAGTCACTCATGGCTATGGTTTAGCTTTTCTGACTGGGCCCTCATAACACAGTGCCTCAGCGCCTCAGCATCACTGATAGTGGGGGCCTATGGGACATCAACCTAGTGCTACCAGGTCGTTGTCCCCATCCTCCTCTTCCCCCCACCCCATCATCCTTCTGACACCTCTGATGACTACACCCTTCCTTACCTGGGATCAGGGTGGTCAGTCAGAGGCGAGGGGATTCTGAACAGCAAGCCCCATGAGCAGAATCTGCAAGAAGGCCTGGAATTTTAGTCTTATTTAAAGGTGAGCTGTGAAGATTTGTGACCACTGTGTTCAGTCCCAAGGTGTCTGACGTTAGAAATGGGTCTGGGGCCCTAAGAAAATGACTACACAAAATATTTCAGCAAGGCAAGAAATTTTACTTCTGGGGTCTAGAGAGATGGCTCAGTGGTAAGGAGTACTGGCTGCTCTCACAGAGGACCTGGTTCAGTTCCCAGCACCCACGTTGTGGCTAACAACCATTTGGAACTCCAGAACCGGATGACCGGATGCCCTCTTCTGACCTCTGTAGGCATTGCACACATAGGTGAACTTGGTTGGATACATGCAGGCAAGATACTCATACACATAAATACATTTTTAAAATTTTCCTTCTGCAAAGAATGTCAAGCTGCTCTAAGTCCAACAAGCACACTCTGCTAAGATGGCCTTCCCTTCATACCTAACAAGAGAGCTTGCTGTCCCACATTAGTCTTGGTTCAACTGCACAATTAAAACTCCATTGGCTAATTTAAAGAGGAAGTACTTTAGTAATTTAGCAATAGGGTTTCAGCATGTAGTCAGTTATAAAGATCGCACAGTTGGAGCATGTGCAGCCCTGGCAGGTAGCCGGAGTCATAAGAGTTGAGGGGCAGTGGATGGGGAAAATGGTAACGCTACAAGGTGTAATTGAAATACTAAGAAACAAATAACATTTAAGGAACATATTAGCTCTGTAGCAAGGGTTCTATGGTTTTTTAAAAGTTTTTGAAGAAAAGGTTTCATTTTTTAAGTAGAGTACGACTGTGAGTATATATTTTGATCTTAGACTAATGTGAGCCTGTGAGTTGGGTTCATATTCACAGTCTCTGAGCACCTACTAGCCTCTGCTGGAAGAGTAGACTGAGATAAGATGCCGATTGTAGTTGACTTTTGAAGTCTCTATTTGCATTTTTTTAAATATCTTATTTTTTTAATTTTTTATTATTTATTTTGTGTCTTCATATAGAACATCTTATACCCCCTTCCCCATTGGCACCTGCCCATAGCACCCCCCACCCCCGGAATTCATGCATTCTGTCATTTGTGTTAAGGCCTATCATGTCAAGTTAGTGTCTCCAGATGTCCCTCAGTTTAAGTTCATCCACTGAGGTCTAGTCAGCCTATCTAGAGTCCCTCCCTTTAAAATCAGCTCTTCCTCACCCAGCAATAATCAGTTGCTTGTAATTCTTCGACTAAAATTGGATCCTGCTGTTCATTTCCACAGCTCTGTGCCGTGTTTTTGTCTGTTTGCATGGGTCTTGTGCGTGCTGACACCATTGCTGTAGATTAATATGAGAAGAGTCCCAGGATCCTGTAGTACTCTTATTTCCATATGGTCATGCACCTCCTTCCTGCCAGTTAAATTTTTCAGCCCCTTGTACAATGGTCCCTGAGCCCTGGGTGGGTGGATTTTAATGTAGAGCCCTGTCCAAGGACCCACACTCTGTAGAGTCTTATTCTCTACGTTTTGGGCATTTTTGACCTTTTGTGTTCCTGGCCCTCTGTTGCATGAGGGAGCTTCATTGATGAGAGTTGAAAGGTACATTATTAGCTGGGTGTGGTGGCACATGCCTTTAATCCCAGCACTTGGGAGGCAGAGGGAGGCAGATCTTTGTGAGTTCAAGGCCAGCTTGGTCTACATAATGTAGTTCCAGGACAGCTGGGGCTACAGAGAGACCCTGTCTCAGAAAAAAGACAAAAAAAAAAAAAAAAAAAAAAAAAAAAAAGATACATTATTGTTTTCTTTATCCCTTGTTCTGTGCTTCCTGAACCTTAGATATAGAGGTTGCACCCTAGATGTGCCACTTAGGCTTGGGCAGTTCACAATCTGTGTGTGTGACCAGTTGTGGAACTCTGTAATAATCTCTGTTGAAAAAGAAGTTTCTTTGATGCATGGTGACTAGGATACTTTCTGTAAATATAAGGATCTATATTTTGCACATTGTAAGAAATTACATTCATCTAGGGATGTGACATCCTTGGGATTTTCTCTAAGATCTGTGACCTCTCCAGCTATGTGTATTTGGCTAGGTTTACAGTACCACACATGAGTTTCTTACCATTGAGTGGGCTTTAAGTCCTATTGGGTAGGTGTTGATTACCCCCAAGATAAAAGTGCCACTACTGCACCAATGTCATTTACTGTGCTGGTCATTGACATGATTATTAGCCCTTGAAGTTGTGGCTGATGTTCTCCCTTAACAGCTTGCATAGTGTTCTCCACAGCTATGAGAGCTTGCCTTCAGGGAAGGTGGCTTCCAGGTCAGCTCCAGCTCCATTGCTCCAAATTCTGTGTCTAAAGTACTTCCTGTCTTCAGGAATAGGGTCTTAACCTTCAAGTTCTGGGAGACCATCAAGGACTGTGGCAATAGCTATGTACTTTGGGGAGTCTCCTGGACTGCCCTGGCCAGCAACTCAAAGGGAGGTTTCTCCTGTCTGGCACTGTTTCTTGTTACATAGCCTGTAGCTACACACATGGACTCATCTAGGGATATTATGCTTATGTTCTCGTCTGTGGATCCTAGCACCCAATCCTTATGTGTGAGCATACATTCTGATAACCACAGGAACCAGGCAGATGAAAAGTAACCAGGGAGGTAAAGGTAAAGAAAGACCCCAAGAGAGAAGAACACTAGTAGGGGACTGGTGTTACCAAGGGAGAAATGTGTAAAGTGGGGTATTTAAATGGGAAGGAGGGCTATACAAGGAACTAGGGGGATAAAGGGAAAGAAAGAGTTCTCTTATAGGATTTAGGAGTGCAGAAAAGGGAGGAGTTTAAAGTTTAGGAATAAGAGCCAGTGCCAGGCCTGCCACAGGAATGAGTCCTTTATTCAGGTATCACAGCAAAGGGCAGGTGCTTTCTTCCCACAGAAAAGAAGGAATCTGCAACTAAAGAAAGGGGGCTTGGGGTTTTTATGTGGACTGTACTGAGCACAGCTGTAGGTGTTTACTCAGTGCCAGGGTCTGGTACCCTTGGGTGAGTGAAGGTCTTCCTTTCAAGATTATTTTCTCGGGCAGGGCAGGAAAGCTATCTGAGGCTCTAAAGGAGGCTGGTTGGCTCCACAACCAGCCTCCTTACGTCCTGGGATCCTGTAACCAGTTGATAAGGCCAGCCTGCCAATTTAGGGCCATTTGGCCACTTTAAGGGATTTATAATTTTTTTGCTTTATCCTAATGAGGCTTATGGCTCTCCTGCAGTTCACACATTCTAAAAAGCTCAAGAGAGGTGGGACCATAGCAGACAGAAATGATCAAGGGAGAAATAGAGATACTTTAAATGGGGAGGGCTTGAAGGGCGTGGGTTAGACGGGGAAAAAGAGAAGAGATAAATAATGTCTAGGTAGGGGCCAGGTGTGGTGCAGGCCTTTTGTCAGGCAGATCTCAGGGAGTTCAAGGCCAGCATGGTCTACATCGTGAGTCCAGGCCAGCTGGGGCTACAGGGAGACCCGTCTGTAACTCCAGTTCCAGGGGATCCAACAGCGTCTTCTGTCCTCTGTGGGCATTGTACAACATGGGTGCACTTACCTACATGCAGGCATAAATACTCATACACATAAAATAAAATATTAAATAAATAAATAAAATACTGTTTTTAAAAAGCCAGGCATGGTGGTACACACCTTTAATCCCAGCACTTGGGAGGCAGAGCCAGGTGGATCTCTGAGTTTGAGGCCAGCTTGGTTTAGTTCCAGGCCAATTGGGGGCTACAGGGAGACCCTGTCTCAAAAAGACCAAAAACGAGAGAGAGAGAGAGAGAGAGAGAGAGAGAGAGAGAAACCAAATTCCACAGAGAATCATTTTAGTCCAAAAACCTTCTGAAAAATCACAATATCTATTTGCATTGTTAAAGCCACAAAACTGCCTTTGAAAGGAAAGACACTACATTTATGTATCTTAGGTCCATACTGGCTCATACACCCTCTTGGCATCATTGGCTGCTTATCTCATCACCTAACTGAGACTGTCAGGCATCTTGAGACCCCAGCCTCTAGCAAAGAGATCCAGCTGGGAAAAAGGAGGTGGGTCACACCTTTCACACAACAAAGCATTGACTGAGCTTTTCTTTTTCCACAGACTGGAAACCAGCACATCTATCAACCTGTGGGTAAACCAGGTCAGTGATGAAATGAGTTGTGTGTGAGGATGTTTGTCTGGTTTGGTGAGAGTGGGTTTTACATATGTGTGGTGTTGTAGCTTTGGAATGCCCTGGGGAATGCTCGGTTTTCCCCCTGAAGACATAGTAAGTGTAGTGTTTACCACATTCATCCTGTGCCTCGAGTACTGGAAAGCTGAATGTACTGCCATAAGTCATCAGAGACACCTTAGAAGTCTAGCCAGCGGTGATGGGGCAGGAGAGTCTAAAAGTCTATTCACTAACATGCACAATGGGAACTGTTCTAGTTTCTCCATTGCTGTGACAAAATACTCTGACCAGTACCAACTTGGGTAGGAAAGAGTTTATTTGATATTACATCTCCCAGTTCACAGTTCATTACGAGGGAGCCCAGGGCAGGAACCTGGAGGTAGGAGCTGGAGCACAGGCCGTGGAGGAACACTGCTTACTGACTTGCTCCCCTGGCCCCTGCTCAGCCTGCTTTCTTATACAACACAGGCCCACCTGCCCAGGGGTGGCACCACCCACAGTGGGCTGGGCCCTCCCACATCACTCAACAATCAAGAAAATGCCCCACAGACATGGTCACAGGCCGTCCAATGGAGGCAATTCCCCAGTTGAAGCTCTCTTAACTCAGGTGTGTCAAGTTGACACTAAAGTATCCAGCACAGGAGCCCTTCTTCTCTTCTAGATCCTGCAGCTCCACCAAAGAAACCACCCCGCCCTGGAGCTCCTGGCCACCTGAGCAATCTGGGCAGCCTCAGCAGCCCCGGGGACAGCTACAATGAGGGCGTCAAGGTGGGCATCTGAGTCTGTGCATCACTGTCTGCTCGGGGTTGGTGGAGTCACTAAGTCCTTAGTGCATGGCTCTGTTGTGGTGGTCAGGGACATTGCTGGGGGTGTCCATAGGAGACCCAGGATTCAGCAGGCTTCATTTTGAACTCTACAAGAATCAGAAAAGTATTCTATGAAGTCTTCCCTGGTTTTCTCCAAGCATAATAAACTTTACGGACTTTATACAGTATCCTTTCACCAGGCAGGATGTGTCTTCAGAATAAATGAGATGATCTTTATTTTAAACATTAAGCCAGGATACCCAGGGCAAGTGGGGACTCACTATGATGTCCACCTGTTTATAAATATGGCTTCGTGGTAAACCTACCTTCCACCTCAGGTCAGAGCTGTTTGTCAAGGGATTGATAGCCTTCCTTAGATCAAGGGCAGCATTTGACTCAGGCACACATGCAAGCTTTCCCTTGGCTAGGCCTCCTCGGTGTCCTCCCCAGGGCACAGTATCTGCCTCTCTTGGTCCCCTCACCCCCTGAGCACAGAAGGAAGACATTCTCCTCTTCCAGCCCAACCACTTAGTTGGCAGATTCATTTCTCTTCAGGGTTTCAAGCTGCCTTTCAGTGTGTCCCATTTCTTACTCATACACACTGCTTTTCATTTTAGTATCTCTAGAATAGGGGTGGATGTTTTTTTTTTCTCTCTTAGCATTGTAGTTATTTAAAAACTGAGGGTCTGGGGAGATGGCTCAGTTGGTTAGGTGCTTGCCATACAAGCTTAAGGATTTGAGTTCAATTCCTAGAACCCATGTAAAAAATTGAGTGTGGGGGCTGGAGAGATAGCTCAGCAGTTAAGAGCACTGACTGCTCTTGCAGAGGACTCAGTTTTGATTCCCAGCACCCACATGGCAGCTACGAACTGTCCTTAACTCCAGTTCTGGAGAATCCGAAGCCCTCTTCTGATCTCTGTGGCATTGTCTGACATGGGTGCACTCACATACATACAGGCAATACACTCATACACATAAAAATAATAAATAAAATATATTAAAATTTTCTAAAAGTTGAGTGTGATAGCCTATGCCTATAATTTCAGCTGTAGGGAGGCAGAGACAGGCAGATCCCTGGAGCTTAAGACCAGTTAGCCTAGTATAATCAGCAAGCCTCAGGTCCCAGTGAGGGACCCTATCTCAAAAAAAAAAACCAATTTGGATGGTGCCTGCAGAATGACACTTAGGTTGATTTGGCCTTCACCACACATACAGGCATGTATACAAAATGGTGTGTCATTGATGTGATGGTGTATGCCTGTAATCCCAGCACTTGGGAAACAAACAGGAGGATGACAAGTTCAAGGTCAGCCTGGGCTACATAACAAGATGCCTGTCATGATGGCACCTTAAATCTGACGAGTATACAAGTCACTTAGTGTTTTTTCTGGCCCACGCAGTGACACATTTCCACATGTGTAAATACATCAGCGTCATGAGATTTGGGGGTGGTCACCTTTTCATTCTAGATGACTGAAGTCACAGAGGCAGAGCAGTTTATTTACAATCACACAGCCAGTGACTGGGCCAGCCTGCCACTGTGGACTCCTGGACCACACACTTCTAAAGTGCCCACTTCTAGAGCAACTGGCTGATTGATGGTTAGAGTGAATATATTGTCATCTCAGTGTCAGAGAGCAAGGAGAGCACATCCCCACTGTGCTCGGGTAGGTTGGCTTGTGCCTCTAAGGGCAATGTTACCCTGTCCTTCGAACAGGTGACCCGAGCAGCACGAGCTCTGCTGACACAGATCAGCTCCTGTAGGCACTGAGCGAACCGAGCTGAGTGGGAGGGACCCCTGCCAAGAGGGTCAGGCCCTCTCCTGCTGCCTTCAACCAGTTGTCAGCTCCGAGAAGCAGGCAGCTCCCCAGTGGCTCGTCAGCACAGGGAGAAGTGGGGGGAGAAGCGGGCGAGGCATAGCTGCCCTAGAAGTGCCTTTCCACTTGAGAGGAGAGAGGGAAGAAGGTCAGCAAACTTTTCTCGCTGGCTGTAAGCTGCGAGGGCAGACCTTCTGCACCTCGGAGGTTGTGACGAGGGCCTGATCTGGAGCCTGAGATTTTCCGTCTTACCCTGTTTCGTGATTAGAACAATGGAAGGAGCAGATACAACTGAGAACACCGTTGATCAGGATATAGAGCACAGAGTCTGGAGAAGTGTGCTGGCTTCAGATCTACAGGGTAGATTCTTGAGTGACTGAGATACAACAGATGTCTGTCTTCACTATCTGGTAGAGGTAGCAAAACCCACCCTGAAGGACAGCACCAAGTTGTTTGGGTTTTTTAACAATATTGTTTTAATACAAAAATGTTTTCTTTGAACTATATATAACTAAAATAATTCACTTAAATACCATTTAGCCAGAAATAATCTGGGTTTTCCTTGTGGACTTTACTCTTGGGTTTCTGTTGTCCATAGGACTAGAGTTAGAACCAAGAGCCTTGTTCACGCTCGGCATTTCACCACTCGGCCATGTTCTGAGTTTTAAGCATCAACCCAGAGCATAGGAATTGCTTGTCTATAAGCGGTGGATTCTTCTTAACTACCAGCCAAGGGGGTTCCATGTTGCCACATTCTAGAAACTAGGTGAATGGTGGTAGATGTTTCTCCAACCAAGCTTTGACTTAGGGAATGCTGCTGGGAAGGTTCTAGAGGCATCATGGCTGTGCCCTCCTGTGAGGAGGGAAAGGGTGACACATAAGAAACTTTCAGTAGCTGACAGTAAACTCCACTGACTTGCTGGCATCAAACAGAGTTGTGTCTCTTGGTGGAATGTACCTTACATGCCCCCTCCAGGAAGCCATGTGCCTTCCTGTGCTGTGCAGTTTGAGCACACAGCCTGTAGAAAGACTGCATTGTGATTTTCAGTGTTCCAAATAAATTGCAAGTCCTGTCTCGGGAGGGGTGCAGTTAAATCACCTCAGTCTTTTAGCACTCAGGAAAACACTCTGGATGTTTACACCTCTGAACTGTAGGCTCTCTCTGTGGGACTTGCATCTTGGCTTTTAGACAGGTCTGCAGATAGCTGGCTGCTCCATTTCCCATCTGTTCACAGTAGAATAGCCAGGGGTTGAGCTTAAAGACAAAGCAGCGAAGCCTCTCAGCTTACAGAACAAACCACAGCCTGGTCATGGTGGTACACACACACCATGATCCAAGCACTTGAGATGCTGAGGTCGAGAATCAAAACCAAGCCTAGACTACGCAGTGCGTCCTATCTCAAAAACAAGCAGGAGTGCTGGAGAGATGGCTCAGCCTTCTCAGTGCAAAAGCACTGGCTGCTCTTGCAGAGGGTGCAAGTTCAGTTCCCAGCACCCACATGGCGGCTCACAACCCTCTGTAACTCCAGTTCCAGGAGATCTTTACTTCCTTCTGGCCTTTGAGGGCATTGTGTCCTGAGTGCTCTTAAACGCCTATAGGCAAAACACTAGTACCCATACAAAATTAAAATTCAAAAGCAGACCACAACCAAAAAGCAAAATCCAGTGTGTATATGGGGTGTGACAGGGTTAAAAAGAAGTTTCTGAGGTCTTTAGAGACAGCCCCTAGCTAAGAGTCTTTCCTAGACAGCGTGGCTGGACGCTGCTGAAGACCCATGTTAGGAGGTGAGGCTTGATTGGTTTCTCCAGGGTCCCTCGGAAGTCGGCTGGCAGACCCCACAATTATGTGTGCCCTTCTCCCCTCTTGTGAAGAGCTTCCCTCTAGACTGCACGGCTGCCATGGCCACGCGCCGGCTTTGCATGCTGCCCTCATTTATCTCATGGGAGCAAATGTTGCATGGAAGGGCTCTAGCGATGCACTGTGCATAGAGCCAGCGGTGGCACAGGCATGACCCCGGCTCTGGGGAGCAGAGCATGCAGGGCAGGCCTGTGCCAGTGCCGGGATCAGCTCATGTGGGTTTCTGGGTTTTCTGCCACCTTATTAATGCTGTTTTTCTTTTTCCTTTTCTCTGACAAATCCCTTTAACTTTTCCTCACCTTCCGTTCGACAATAGCCGTGGAGGGTAAGCACATCATGTCTGTGTGTCTGTCTGGCTCACTTTGTTAGACACAGCTCTACGTGTGACTCTGGACTAGCACGTGGGTAGTCCCATGGGAGGACACACTTGCTTGATTGTCACCTCTCATAGCTAGCAGATGCCAAAAAAGAGCATTTATATTTTCCAGAGACTGAGACGTGAACAGCTTTGCAGTGAATGTGCTGTTCTCACCCTTTTCTAACTCACACACAGTCATCTGCTCTGATCTGCTTGGCCGAGGCATCCAGAAATGGCAACTCACTGGCTTAGCCTGAGGGCCACAGCATACCCGATTACATAGATGTCATACTACAGTTTAGTCCTTCCAAAATACACACTCAGACACGTGCACAGACACAGAGCTTGAAGTCTGAAAGGTCGCACAGCCTCTCCTAGTGGCCCCATTTGTTCTCCCCTAGGCCCTTGGGACATCATGGATCGCATCTGTGATGTTTCCTCTGTGCCCAGGTCCTCGGTGGGTGTATTTGCATCTGAGGCTTTATATGCCCTTCGTCATTGCTGCTCAGACACTGCAGGCCTTGGCTCACTCAGCAGTCAGCATAGGGCTGGCAGGAAGCCCCTCCCACTCCTGTGTCACTTGAACTGGAGCAGATTTCTCCAAGCAGATGGTATCTGCCTAAAGCAGACACATGTGAGTCCACATTGATCATGAAGAGAGAACGTTGTTGGGGTTTGAGAACTGAGCAGAACTTAAAGTTAGCAGAGATATTCATAGAATATAGAGCATTTGATCACTTAGCGAGTCACTCTTTCTCTGAAATCCAGTAGACCCTTGGTTATAAATTGTGTGGATTCTCTTGTGATTGGGGAGTCTGGGAACATTGAATCACTTCTTGAATCTGGAGATTTTACTTTACTGTGTGTGATTCCATCTCATTCCCTTTAACTGAGCTCAAAGTTAGCATCACCACCTCGTCTGTTTGTCCCTGGGATGAATTACCTTATTGTCATCCTCAAGCCGAACTATGTCTGAACAAACGAAAATCCGCCATTTTCTGCGTCTGCTTTGATCTCTTTTAAAGACTCTAACTTACTTGTGGTGATGCCACACCACCTCCTGGAGAGTGGAAAATGACCAGCTTCTGTGTTGTCAGCTTCAGCCCCAGGAAATCAGTCCCCCTCCCACTGCCAACCTGGACCGATCCAATGACAAGGTATATGAGAACGTGACAGGCCTGGTGAAGGCTGTCATCGAGATGTCCAGCAAAATCCAGCCAGCTCCACCAGAGGAATATGTCCCTATGGTGAAGGTGAGGTGCGGTCACTCTGTTATGGTAGGGATGGCCTCCTTTCCTAGGGAAGCCGGGTTCCCTAAAAGTCGAGCCTGATGGTTTGGGTGTGCCGGGGGGGGGGTGGTGGTTTACAATGTAACTGAGAAAGCAGCCTTTGGGGATTGCTGTGCCTCTCTTTTCCTCTGTCAGTAACAGTGGGCTCCACTAGTAGAGTCTCCTAATAACTGTTGCTTACAAACAGCAGGCTAAAGATTATCAGTAGTGTGGGGTTTTCATGTAAAGTTTATGTCATATATAAAAGTAAGGGAGCATGGGACTGGAGAGATGGCTCAGGGGTTAAGAGCACTAACTGCTCTAATAGAGGACCAAGTTTGATTCCCAGCATTCACATGGCAGCTAGCAACTGTCCGTAACTCCAGTTCCCGGGATCCGACACCACCTCTGACCTCTGTGAGCATTGCATGGCATAGGCACACTTACATGTAGGCAATATACTCATACACATAAAATAAAAATAATAAGGGGCTGGAGAGGTGGCTCAGCGGTTAAGAGCACTGACGGCTCTTGCAGAGATCCCAGGTTCGATTCCCAGCATCCACATGGCGGCTACAAACTGTCCTTAACTCCAGTTCCAGGGGAATCCGAAGCCCTCTTCTGACTCCTGTGGCATTGCATGACATGGGTGCACTCACATGAATGCAGGCAATATGCTCATACACATAAAATAAAAAAATAAAATATGAAAAAAAAATAAATTAAAAATAATAAGCCGGGCGTGGTGGCACACGCCTTTAATCCCAGCACTTGGGAGGCAGAGGCAGGTTGATTTCTGATAGTTCAAGGCCAGCCTGGTCTACATAGTGAGTTCCAGGACAGCTGGGGCTACAGGGAGACCCTGTCTCAAAAAGACCAAAAAAGAAAATAATAATAAATAAATTTATTTTATTCTTTTTGAGACAGTGTCTCCCTGTAGTCCCATCTGTCCTGGAACTTGCTATGCAGACCAGGCTGGCCTTGAACTCATAAAGATCCACCTACCTCTGTCTTCCAAGTGCTGGGATTAAAGGCGTACGCTACCACACCTGGCTAATTTTTTTTTTTTTTTTAAGTAAGGCAACATACAGGATTGATAGTGCTCCAGTTCAGAGACTTCCTCTGAGGAAGAAGCCAAAAAGAAAATGAGGTTACCTAAGTGTGTGTTCATGTGTGCAGGTGTACATGCTCCTCTGTGTGTGTGCGCGCATGCGTGCGTGTGTGCGTGCATGTGTGTGTGTGTGTGTGTGTGTGTGAGAAAGTTAGAGGACAGCCTCAAGTATCATTACTCAGGTACTGTCTAATTTTTTTGATTTTTGGTTGTTTTGGGTTTTTTGAGAGAGCATCTCTCACTGGCCTAGGACTCCTCAAGTAGGCTAGGCCAGCTACCAGGAAGCCCCAGGGATCTGCCTGTGTCCACCTCCCTACTCTTGGCCCTTTTTAAAGTGGGTTCTAGGGGTTGGACACTGGTCCTTAGGCCTACAAATTAGGTGCTTGCTGACTCAGCAGTCATCCCTGACCCTGTGTTGTATTCTAAAGATGAGGAGTAGGCATTTGGATGAGCACTGAATAGTTAGAAAAAAGAATAGTAATAAGCCTGGCCTCGTGGTCCCAGCTATTCAGGACGCTAAGGCAGAAAGTCCACTTGAGTCCAGGGGTCCTAAACCAGCCCAAGCACCACAATGAAGCCCTTTCTCAATAAAACAAAAATAAGTAAAATGGAAAGAACAAGGAGACAGACGTGTAGTCAGTTAGCATTTCCCAGGTGGTGAAAGGATCCTACAGTGGTGTAGGATCTGGGGAGATGGTGCCCTCTGAATGAGCCCCTGATTTCCAGCAGTCAGCAGTTATGCCACACCTGAGTGCCACCGTGCTGCACAGAGGTATCCTGCATCAGAGAGCGCTCCCCAACTTCACTCCAAGCCAGCATTTCTGAAACAAATTTGAACATACTTTATTAGATAGTAAGATGCATGAGATTTACCGCTTTAGTTCTACCTGGGTCTGTAATTCAGTGGCATTGAATCCCTTCACCTTGTCAGCCATTACCACCATCCATTTCTGAAACTTGTTTTGTTTTTTCTTTATAACTGAAGCTCATGAGTTGAGCACTAACTCCTCAGTGCTTCTTCCTCCCCGTCAAGTGCTTTGTATGTTCTGACTCAAGTATGTCTCATAATGGAATCCTATAGCTTTTGTCTTCTTGTGACTGGCTTACAACTTGGGGAGGGGGGGGGGAATGCTTAAGGCAATCCATCTTGTAGTATGTGACCAGACCTCGTTGGCTCTCAGGCTAAGCAGTGCTCTGCCGTGCAGCACGGCCCGTGCAGCACCACCTTCTCCGGGCCCTTCTTCTCCACTTCACACGTGCTTCCACCCTTAGGTTGTCAGGGAGGCTGCTGCTCTGGATCCCTACCGGCAGGCACGTTTCTGAGACCTGTTCTATTCTCAGTTGTAAGTGTGCTTTCAGGTGGACTGCTGGGACATGGGGTAGTTGTTCTGTGTGTGTGTGTGTGTGTGTGTGTGTGTAAGTTTCATGTGTTGTTCCATCAGAGCCAGCCATCTTGATTTTTTGAGACGGTCTCCCTCCTTAGTGCTCAGATTAAAGCACATGCTGCCATGCCTAGCTTTTCTTTTTAATTTATTATTTGTTTTTTAATGTGTATGCGTGTATTGCCTGCCTGTAGGTAAATGCACCAGTTTCGTGCAATGCCCTCCGAGGTCAGAAGAGGCTGTCGGATCCCCTGGGACTGGAGTTACAGAGAGTTGTTAGCTGCCATGTGGGTGCTGGGGTTCGAACTTGGGTCTTCTGCAAGAACAACCAGTGTTCTTAACTCCTGAGCCATCTCTCCAGCCCCGATGCCTAGCTTTTTTTTCTTTTTGAGACAGGGCCTCCAGAGACGGGGTCTCCCTGTAGCCCTAGCTGGCTTGGAACTCCCATATAAACCAGGCTAGCCTTGAATTCATAGAGATACACCTGCCTTTGCCTCCTGAGTGCTGGAATTAAAGGCATGTGCCACCACAGCAGCTCCATTATTTTTTTCCCTTGGGTGTTGGAATGAGGCTAAGGGCCCCACACTGTCTTGGCAGGCACTTCACAGACTTTGCTCTCTCCCCAGCCCTGGGCTTCGTGTTGTGGGGGGCAGCAGCTGCACCTCTTTTTTTTTTTGTCTTTTCAAATATTTTATTTTATGTGTGTGAGTATCTTGCCTGCCCGTATGTAAGTGTACCCATGTCATGCAGTGCCGCGGAGGTCAGAAGAGAGCTTCAGATTCCCCTGGAACCTGGAGTTAAGGACAGTTCATAGCCACCATGTGGGTGCTGAGAATCAAACCCGGGTCCTCTGGAGGAGCAGCCACTGCTCTTAACCGCTGAGCCACCTCTCCAGCTCCACCATCTTACTTTCTACTAGCAGCACACAGGGTGCTGTTTCCTTTGGGTGGCTTGTTGGCAGTGGGCATCCTAATAAGTGAGGTGCTCTCTGTGGCTTTGATTGGCACAGCAATGTAGATGAACGGCATTCCTTGTAATTTCTGGCCATTGGTTCATCTTTTGCTTATATTTTACTTAGATTTTCTTAATTGTTGAGCTGTAGGATTGAGTACATGTGTCTTGCTACCTGGAGGCAGTCTGCAGGGCCAGCAAAGCTGGTGAGATGTGCTGCTGCTAGACCCATTGTGGGCCTTTTTTTTTTTTTTTTTTTTTTTTGGTCTCTTTGAGACAGGGTCTCCCTCTAGCCCCAGCTGTCCTGGATTCACCATGGAGACCAGGCTGGCCTCGAACTCACAGATCCACCTTCCTCTGCCTCCCGAGTGCTGGGATTAAAGGTATGCGCCAACACACCCGGCCTGTGGGTCACTTTTTAAACTCTGCTCCCTTAATAGTCCTGACGACAGTTATCAGGGGTGAACGTGTGAATCCACAGCCAGACTCATAAAACACAGAACTCAACAGCACACGAGGGTTCTCCAAATCTTGCATGCTTTGAGGCTCACATGGTAGTTTCATAGGGTTACTTGTTGTGCGTGGCATAGCAGGGCTTCAGACTGTTGTGAGAGGATGGTCCAAATGCCTGTTCTGTGCAGTGATAGTGCTGCCTTCCTAATTTGTGCAGGCATGCATTGTGACGACCCCATGAGACACAAGTGCACCTCTGATCACTCCCCTTTACTCCAACCAGGGAAGTACCCTTCTGTCTGCTGGCCCAAAGGGCAACGCTGTTTCCTTACTGGATTTTTTTTCTTGTTCATTTTATTCATATTATATGTATAATTTGTTGCTTTAATCACATTTCATCTTCAGAAGAATGACGGTAATAAAATTGGAAATTTATGATGTTCTGGCCCGGAGGGATGACTCCGTGGTTAAGAGCACTGGCTGCTCTTGCAAAGGACCTGGGTTTGAGTCCCATCACCCACATGACGGATAACAATCTGTAACTCCAGTTCCAGGGGATCCAATGCCTCCTTCTGACCTCTCCTTGGACATTATACGATACTGGCACACTTACATACATGCAGGCAATACGCTCATACACATAAAAATAATAAATTTTTTTTTAATTAAAAAAAAAATTTTTATGTGTCTGGTGTATTGCCTGCATGTAGGTAAGTGCACCTGTGCCATGCAGTGGCCGTGGAGGACAGAAGAGGCTGTCGGATCCCCTGGAACTGGAGTGGTGATACACCCCATTAAGCCTAGCACCCCAGTGGCAGGGTTTCCCTACATAGCCTAGTCTCCCTGGCCTTGAACGCAGATCTTCCTTCCTTATCCTCCAAGTACTGGGCTGATGAGTACAAGTCTGCTGTCCCTCTGTCCATACCCCTTTACCCCACTCCGTCTTCCTCACAGTGCCTATGTAATCCATGCTGGCCTCAAAGTCCACAGCAAACTCTGTCCTTGTTGTCTCAAGGAAAAGCTCTTGGGTCCCCAGGCAAGGCCTACCTTGCCTCCAGGCAGTGGGAACATGTCTTCATCGGCCTCAAGGACAGATTTCTTTTTGTGTGTGAGGGAGCCACGTGCCAGCTTGTCTGAACTTGGAGGGTGCTGCAGTCTACTGGGAAGCTGGTGAGAGGAGCAGAACTACTTTCCACCTTCTGTATGTAGGCACTTCTAACGTACACATCTGTCTCTGAGCCTACTGCATAAGGCATGAGAACAAAGGCTAGTCAGATCTGAATCTGCAGGAATAAGAGCCAATAACATGAGGATCAGTACTAGGCAAATACGGGAATTCCCTTACATAAACTGGGCCTGGTGGCTCACCCCTGAATCACAGTGCTGGGGAGCAGGAAGCAGGAAGATTGAGGCAAGCCTTGGCTACGAGTGAGACCCTGTCTCAAAAGAATCCAAGAAAGTTTCCTTATAACTTAGGAAGTACATGCCTGAGACAGTAATCAGCATTGCGTGTTCTTTGTGTTCCTCATACTGCTGATTCTTGTGTTTTAGGAAGTCGGCTTGGCTCTACGGACCTTGCTGGCCACAGTGGATGAGACCATTCCTGTCCTCCCAGCCAGCACGCATCGAGAGGTAGGGCACAATGTTGGTGTAGTCCAGCAAGATGACCAAGATAAACAACTTAAGTTTCAAAGCCGGGTGTGGTGGCACAAGCCTTTGATCCCAGCACTCCTCCGGAGACAGAGGAAGGTGGATCTCTCTCAGTTTGAAGCCAGCCTGGTCTACTTAGTTCCAGGCCAGCCAGGTCTTCATAGTGAGACCTTGTCTTTAACAATGTCCTCTAAGCCAGGCGTGGTGGTGCACGCCTTTAATCCCAGCACTCAGGAGGGAGGCAAAGGCAGGAGAATCTCTGTGAGTTCAAGGTTAGTGTGGTCTATATAGCAAGTTCCGGGCCAGCTGGGGCTACAGGGAGATCTGTCGCAAAAAGACCAAAAAAAACCTAAAAATGTCCTCTAACAAAAGCCCCTTTAAAAATAAAGAAGAAAGAGTACATGAAGTTATCAGAAAAAAAAGTGATGGTGAGATATGGGAGGAGTTGGAGGGGAGGGAGTGGGCCTGGATTTGATCAAAACACCTTATATTCATGTATGAAATTCTCAATAAATTATTATTTTTTTTAAATGTCCTCTAAGGGGCTGAAGAGATGGCTTAGCGGTTAAGAGCACTTGACTGCTCTTGCAAAGGACCTAGGTTTGATTCCCAGCACCCACATGGTGGCTAACAACCATCTGTAGCTCCAGTTTCAGGGGATCTGGCACCTTCTTCTGTCTTCCGAGGGCACTGCATGACGGGGTGCACTTACATATATCAGGCAATACACTCATACACATAAAATAAAAATATTTTTTAGAAAAAATCTTTTCTCTAAATTGGGTGTGGTGGTACATGCCTTTAATCCCAGAACTTGGGAGGCAGAGGCAGGCGGATCTCTATGAGTTCAAGGCCAGCCTGGTCTACATAGTGAGTT